ACACAGAACGTCGGATACGAACCCCGCACTGGTCGTAGGTATGTATCATGGTGGCCGCCAAGGCTATTCAGACGAGTCCTAATAGGATGACGATAGTTCTAGTAAAGTACGTGCTCGGGGCGCGGGGTTGCAGTGAGCACCGCCCTCATCGTGCGATCCTGTGTAGATATGGCCAACACTGCACATTATTAACAGTCATACTCGGTGCTTCAATTGATACGGCACCTCTTCCTATCGAGCTGTCACCCGCAGCGCCCACAGGGTCTGGACTCTCGTCGGCGGATGGCAGCCCTTCCTTCAGCTTCATCAGCTCCGTGCTTCAGAAGTAGGTTTGCGTGTGCAAATGATCAGCCAGCTCGAAGCTCGGCCCGCATGTGTTGCCAGCGATCTGTGGCATTGGTCTTGGTCTCCTACGGTTCAGTACCCATCGTCTTCTAAAACAATGCTGCCAGTGTCATCTCGTACAGGGAGCGGATAATATCACTTGCTCGAACGAACGCCTATCAGCATTTGGGGGTAAAATGCAACTGCAAACGGCAAGCAGACATCGTGGCACATTGTCATCTGACGCCGGCCATGCAGGCTCGCTGATGCAATGGCCCTGTAATAGACGCAGGATTGAAATGAAGACGCGGTACAGCCCAGAGTGAGCTCGGCTGCGCGATCAGAGTCCAGTACGTGACACGCCGCATGCGGATGATTGTAGGAACTAATCATGGCCCCGTCGACGACTAATACAGCGAGAAAGGATTGTAGGTTGTTTGATCTGAACAGCCGCACACACTGAAGCCGGCCGTGTAAGTTGACAAGCAAAGCGACAAGCCATTGAGCACGTCAAATGCAGCCAAGCAGCACAAAGGGAGACTTGCATCCACCACAGTGTCTTCCTCACTTCTATTATTACCACAATATTAGTCGCATGCGTTGAAGTCGGTGCCCCAGGATGCCGTGCTGACCACACCCACGAGTGTGCACAGGGTAGGTAAGTAGCCGGCGTTGTGACGTTTTTTGAGCTAGCACAACCTGACCATGGTGAACACAGAGCTCTTTGCAATGCTTGTATCTATTAATTGATCAATGATAAGGGCGATCTTGCTGCGCCGCCTCAGAGGACGACATGGCATCTAATTAACACGAAGGCGAGTCGCATTCGCAAGGTACTTACTCATGCTGGCAATGTACCACGTATCGCCTCACGCCCCTCCCTTCCGGCGCTTCCCTTGTCCCCCATTTCGTCTGACCCCTCCTCCCCGCAATGAACTAGACTAGATCTCCTAATTGCTGCAAGACATCGAAACTCGCGATACCAAACACCAGCCATTGCCTCCCGGCGCGACGCCTGTCGAGCGTTGCGCGTACGCCGTACATACTATGTTCCTCACGGTACCGCTCCGTCGGGCCCTGTCTCATCACCTCAGAGACTCAGGCTGTCCCAAAGTACACCACCCTGCGAGCTCCACACGATGGCCAGTCGGTCGCTCTGTGACTCTGCCAGCGCTGTTTCAAGCTTGCCAAGCGCGCCAAGTCGCGAAACGAGGTCCCTCATTTCCAAACCGCCTACTGCTCGAACACGAACACGCCATGACGGCATAGTCAATCCGGAATGCGAGCGCGAGTGCGAGTCGCTAGCTGCTGCCCGGCCCTATTACCAGACTCGCCAACGTTGCAATGGAGCGCATGCGCGCCACGGCATCTAATTGCTCAACACGGGCCCTATCCAATCGCGCCGTGCAGCAGCAATGCGTGGTGAGTGTTTGAATGCACGGCAAACGCAACGCTGCTCGCAGCGCATGAGGCGTATGGTGCGCGGGGTGCATTGCGGATCTACGACATGGGATTTGCTGGCAAACTATGTGGCCCTCTCTGAGTCTCGCAAGGGCGATGGTGCGACGTACGTACGTACGTGCGTACAAGACAAGGCACTCACTTATTGTCGCCGAGCTCAAGCCGCCAGCTCTGGGTTGGCTATGCAGTAGTACGGAGTAGAGAAGCACTGAAGCAGCCCCACGGAGCGGAAATGCTGCGGAATCACGAGTGTCGTCGGCCTTATCAACAGACTGCGCTCCGACTACGGCGGAACATCGTTGCACCAGTGTCCGATAAGTCGCCTGTGAGACGGGACATTGCTTTGGGATTGGATTTGCATTATCACGCCTTCAGTCCGCCGTGCCTCCACGATGCTGCGGTGCCCGGTGAGGCTCGTTCGCCCAAGTGATGGGTATATACCTCTTCTTCCAGCAGGTGTGTGCGCGTGCTCATCGTGCTGCATGAATGTGGCTGCGCTCTGCCGCATGCTGTAGGAGGTGCAGATGGCCCAGCAGACTGATGAGCCATACAGCAGGTGCTCGGGAGGCGATACGTATTTCGACTGCGGCAAGTCTTGAATTCGCCTGTCGTTGCTGGAATACTCCCTCATACTGCGCTCCATGTCGCCGAATGCATTGCATCTTTCGTGTGCTTTAACTTCAGGTCCAGACATCCATGTACAATCTCACATTCCGCGAACACCCCCTCGTTCTAGTGCTGAGAAGGGAAATACCATGCTTTGCAGCGAGTTCATGCGTGGCATGGATTCACAGGGCGAGAGCTACCTAAAACTTCGGGCCTCCGCATAGTATACTGCATACGTGAGGCGAGGGCTCCAGAAACGTCGGCTTCGTCCCGGGACCGATCTTGTGGTGCGAGCCTGCGAGGTGAGCTATCACTCGTTTGTTTCACAGACTTCTTACACCAGGTTTAGGCGCTGCTGTTCGCTTCGTTGGCAGCATTACATGCCTGCACTGGAAACAGAGATTCGATTGCAGGAGCTTGGCATCTTCGCCCGCGCAGACGGTAGACGGGCTTTTCTAGTCATCCCCTCCATACACGTAATTGTCGGCAGATACATGAGGCCTTGTGAACTGCAGAGCCCGCCTGCGGTCATCTTGACCGATTTGTCCCCATTTGCTGATATCAGGATACATTCACTATCTCCTTTTTTGGGCTGTCCTATTCTGCAAGGATGTAATGATACGCCGACTTGGGTGGCTCAGACTCATACGGAGCAATATTGGCGGCCGAGACGCTCAAGTCCGAGGCAGCCATGCCACTCGCCAACAATAGAAGTCAATCAAGGTTGTAGCCACTGACACTGTAACCACGAACATTGAAAGCTTGCTGGGATATGCCGGTGCGATGTCGAGGAAGCGACTCGAGGACCCCTCTGCCCTGCACAGGCGGCAGGCCACAGGGTGCTACTCCTGATTCAAGATACATGCTAATGATCCCGGCACTGCCAACGACCAGCGGTAATCAAGCTCGAGGCAGGACACCAATTGGCATGAAGTGGGATGACATCCTCCAATTTCCTTCAGAATTTCTCTGGGGGTCCAGCACTCGCATGAGCTCGAGGTCACGTTTTCCCCAGGGCAGCCACTCTAGGTGTTTCGTGTGGACTGTCCACTGTCAAGGGTCTTGGGCGTGGTCGCGCGGATCGGTCCTCACTTCCAGAAGATTCACGAGAAGGGCACAGTCGTTGCGTGACGCCCGCTTCGCATCCATACGCGATTTGGTTGGCAATGCTGTCCCGCTGCGAACACTCTTGCCCACAGTGACCGTGGCCAATTCTCTACAGTTCACGCGTAGATACGAATCCTACAGACAGACAGATCAACCAACCCCAGGCCCAGGGGCCGCCGCATCCCAGGCCGGTCGCACGCGTGGCCACCAGAAAGTTGGTGTCAGTGGGGCTCAGTGCTTGCATCCGTGTGGATCCCGAGCAAAGGGTGGAAACAGACAGGGGGCTACTATCGGCGACATGCACGTACAGAGTCACCGGCAACGTCCCAGAAATGGACCGTCTACATATTATCACGCTTGGTGGTGAGCAATGGCGCGTCGCATAGTACTTGGGAACAGTTGATAGTCGCTGAATAGCACAGGGGAATAGGTGCTTCCTCTTCAAATCTCCATCCTCAACTTTCAACGTGTTGGGGTCCCCAGCCTATCGGGCATCTAGGGACTGCTGGTTCTTCAGTGACCAAGCGACGGACAAGACGCCCTCGCTAATATTAGTCATCCGGATGTCCTTTCTACCAAACGCTACACCTCGAGAAATCCCACTGGCTGGCTGTGCTTGGAGCGCGGGCGGTCCTCCCCGGGGCCACTTCGTCTCGCCCTGCTACCCGCAACGCCAAAGCCGGCTATGATTGTATGCACACCCATTGCACGACAAATGCGAGAGAGCTTGGCTGTTCTTTGCGGCTTCGTAAACACCGGGGGGCCCTTGTTCGGCGAGCATGCTATGTGGCAAACGCCGACGACGAGCACCAACGAAGAAGCAATTTGCGTGTCCTTGCATGTCGATCCTCCACGAAACAACACAATCCAGTGGGAGGCATGCCCCTTTCATTACACAACGATGCGTTGTCGAGCAATTATCGCTCGCATCGTTCCACAGAGGAGTGGTGAAACGTAGTCGCACAAAACTGGGCATCGCTGAACCGAGTACCGGAGGAGCGGCAGCCTGCATGACAAGGCGATCATACATGGCATTGTGAAGGCATCTCTACTACCGGCACCCTTCCATGGTCAGGTTGACTTGTGGGTTTGAGCTAGGCGCAGAACGCGGCCCCCAAGGGCAAGAATCGTATGATCCGCCAAGTTTGAGTGTGACAGCGCGGACAGAAGCTGCCAGCGTGGTACCAACTATTGGATTTGTGGGCGCTAATGAAAGCTGTCGTCAGAGTCGCAGCGGTACTTCATCTGACGGCATGAGTCAGGACAATCTTGGGCGGGCAGACAATTCGTGCTAAAGGCAGCTCTGGAAGCTCTGCGAGTGAGTTTCACGTAGGGTAGGTCACAGCCATCAATGGACGTGGTGGAGCTTGACCGGATCCTTGTTCTGACGAGGTCGAAGTGCAGAAAGCCTTTGACAAGAAATTCTCCATTGTAGGATTACTGTGTCCCGTATCAATGCCAGAGCCCCCATGTGGCCTCCCCAACGGTGCTTCTGTTGTTTCCTATGCCCTCGGACTTGGGTGTAACTGGATTACCCGAATAGTCTCCCTCCTTTGCGGATTCGCCTCGAAACTGGCCTCAATCAAGTCGACCACCTCGCTGAGGGTGAAGTACAGGTTCAGGTCGCTCTCGAGCCACAGGAATCTGACGTCTTTCAAGTTGCTCTGCAGCACCTCGCTCAGGAATTTGAGGCGTAGCCAGCTGGGTGCAAACTCTGCCGTCGCGGGCACTTCCTCCGTCGACGATGGCGTGCTGAACAAACGGCTGGGGAGAAACAGATCATCCAACTCGGTGGCAGTCGAGATGGCCTTTGCAATGCTGTACGAGTCTGACGCGCCAATGTCAGACATCTCCAATACATCGGTGATGAGCTTCGTGGCAAGGGACTCGGTGAGGGACCCAACAGCCTGTAGCCACACGGAGCGCATGAGAATGCGCTCCCACGTAGAGGCCATGTCGCGAATGCGGTGCGTCCCCGCTTCAATGGCTGATTCCCACTCGTCCTGCCCAGCCAGCGCTTGAGATCCACCGATGAGATCGCGCAAGACCGTCTTTTGGACGGCTATTTCGTGGCTGTAACTGCGATTTGCGAAGCTGCGGAGGGCTTTAATGTCGTCATCCAACTTCAATAGTTCTTTCGCTTGGTTAGTGAGATCACTCCGTGTTGACCAGTGGGCTGCGAAATCAGCGAGCTGCTCGGCGAGGTATGTAGCATCATTGTAAAGAAACCTTTCCATCTTAGCCATGACACACCTTGTCTGGAGACATGACTTACATGTTGCCTCCCCCGTCCAGAGCATAGTAGTGCGGAGATATTGCGCGGAACAACGCCAGCACAGATGTTGGTAAGTTGAACAGTCCAGGAGCCATAGCGGCAACGGGGCCATGCTCACTCTCACCCCGAGCTAGATTGGCGCCGTCTTCGAATATTGCAGATATGAGCTCCAGGACTGGCTCTGGCATGGATGAGATGTGGTATGTTTCCTTCATGACGAATTCTCTCGTCTCTTCAGGTTCCTGGCTTCTGTGTGACTTGGACTTCTTGGGACTGGGTTTGCTGGCTGCTTGCTCGGTCGTGTCCTCATCACCCCAACCCCATGCTTCGGCGTCGTCGTCATCGTCCTCGTCCATGTTCGTCGACTCTGGCTCCTTTCTGTCGTTGGTAGATGTCTTTAGCGCATCATCGTCTCCCACATCAGCGCCCCATGCATCCCAGGCATCGTCCATGTCGTCGTCATCAGCGACCGCGGTTGACTGTCTTTTTGGTTCGTTCTTGGCGGGTGTCGATGTCTCAGGTCCCGCCTCTTCATGGTCATCCCAACCGTCGTCGACGCCCCATTCCTCGCCCCAACCGTCGTTCTCAGCTGTTGCACCAGCGCCACTCGCTTTGATCTCTTGCCCTTCTGCTTTTGACACCATCTGCTTCTCCACCTTTTCTACCTGCCTTGACTCTCCGATACCGTTCGCGAGACGTGTGCGGATCGTCGCCAGAGCTGTCTCCCTGCACTTCTGTAGCCAGATCTGTGGCGCATCTTCCACCCAGGCTTGCAGGTCCCACAGTCCACTGAAGCCCTGCGCCGACAGGGCCGTGCAGAAGCGTCTCGAGTTCTCAATCATCTCTTCAAAGGCCTTCATGTTGGTCAACGATGTCGGTACAGCCGGGCTCAGCCAGTCGTTGATGAGTCGCGGGATGAGTTCACCCATCATAAAACCACAGAATGAGTCAATAATGTCAGCTGGCAACTTGTTTGCAATGAGAGCGAGCGTGGCTTCTAGATCCGCGAGAAGGGAAGCGATTGACCCGTTGGCCTGGCCGTCCAGCTCGATCGCGTCTTCCGAGACCTTGATGCTCGGCAGGGATGCAGCCTTGCTATCCATCCTTGGCGAGATGATGGCAGCGTCAATGTTTCGCCATAGCTGTTCCATGCGTTCCTCGACTTCTTTATATGCCTTGAGCCCGATCACGGCGTCCGTCAATGTCATCCCGTCTAGGCTTGATTAGCACGGTCCCACAAACGCCACAGGCGCCTCATTCACCTTTGATGGATCTGTATATAGCAACCTGACCGGCGCCCACATCGACTTGTATAAGTTGTTTCCATATGCGGTCAAAGACAGCGTGAACATCTGACTTGAGCTCAAAGGTCCTCAAATCCAGTGTCTTCATGACCCGGCATGTCTTACTGACCCCCAGCTCGTCGATGGCAGCCCAGGAGTCTCTTCCATGTTAGCCCGGCTTTTTATTTTGGTAGGATCTGGTACATACTTTCCAGAAGCATCAAAGAATCCAGTACCCTGCGTTCCTTGCTTGCCTGCTCGACTTGGTCCAGCATTTGATTGACATGGCGAATGCCCTTGAGCACGCCAACCAACTGTTGGCTGTACTGAACTTCGCGGTTCAGGAAGGCGGTCTTCTCTTCAGCCTCCTGTATCGTTTCGCCCGAGGTCTCGGGGGCTTCTGACTGGCGGACGATGTCGTTGGCGATGGCTTTCGAACGGATGATGTCATCCTGAAGGCTTTTGGCATTCTTCTCCCAAGCGCTGACCTCGTCGCGTGTTTCCTCGTTGATCGTGTGAATCTCGCTCTGCATGAGATAAGCTACCGGTCGATCCTCAAGCTCCCTTCGGGTTCTTCACCTCGAGCTGCGCCTTGGCTTTATCTAGCGCTTCAATGGTAGGGCCGAGGTTCGTTTGCGAGACTGGCAAGAAGGAGGCGACATCGTCTGGAAACTTTCCCTCCAGCGAGAAAGCCACAACGGCTTCGCTGAGGTGGTTCGGCCCAGACGTGGTGGCCATAGCTTCCGGTGTTAGGTAGACGACGACTAGAAGGGCGATTGAAGGGCGAACCTAGTCAAGTCTGCTTGCGGCGGTTGCTATGACCGTTTCATTGTCGTCGACCGCGTAGATATACGACTCGGGACTGCTAAGGTCAAAGTGCAAAGTGTCAAACACGTGCTGGCAAGGTCTCTTAGGCACAGCTCGAGGCACGTAAGGTAGTTGCAGATGCGGCCACCTTGTCGGCTGAAGCCCCACTATTGACGTCAGGCAGCCAATAAGGGACCCCTTGCCTCAGATACTAATCATTGTTCCTATCTGTGCCTAGAACGAACCGCCATAATTGCTAGCATTGTCTGCGTTTAAAAGATCAAATATTTTAAAAGGAGCAGCTGGAAATCTTCTCCAACGTCCATCCTCTACTTTGCAGTCGCATGAGGTACGCTGATCTACACACTTGACCCAGTCGTTTTCATCAAGTGCCTGAAGGTCTTGCATAGCGGGGCAGTATCACGACCTCGCCAGCTCACACACCTCGCCGGCAGTACAAAAGTGTTGCGCCGCAGTGCACTGTGCCTCGTTGTCTTGCTAGAGCTGCATCGTAAGCTACAGACACGCCCGAGTAAGCAAGCACCCTCGCCATATCCTACTGAAGCCTTCTTCTCCCCTTCACACAAGTTACACAGCGCCCCGCGATCATCCTCTTTCTCACGATGGCGGGGTCATTGTCACAACCATCGTGAAATGACAAGAGCGCCTCGAAGAATGCCGCCATGGCGCCGGTTCCGAAGAACAAGCCTTCTTATGCGCCTGGTTTTCTCATAGCTACTGCTGTGGGTCTACTCAGCTTCTTCACATACCACATTCTCAGCCACTATCCCCTGCGAACCTCTTTCCTGCCCTTTTCAGTGTCAGTAGTTTGTTTCACTTTCGTGGCCGCGCGCCTTCACATGCACCTTGCCTCCTGAGTATCAGCTTTAGCATTCGAAGCTGACTTCGTATAGTATGCCAGCAGCAAAACAAGGATCTGGCTTCCGCCAGATTCAAAGCTTCAAGACCGACTATGCTCCGTGCACCATAACCCAGTATGTGTCGGAGCGGAGCGGCATGCAGGTCGTTGTGGCCGACCGCAAGGGTCCAAAGATCACAGGGTACTTCACGCTGGCCACCGAGATCTTCGACGATTCCGGCGCCCCCCACACGCTGGAGCACCTGATCTTCATGGGCTCCAAAAGCTATCAATACAAGGGCCTGCTAGACAAGCTGGCGTCAAGGGCATACTCGGGTACCAATGCCTGGACGGCGACAGATCACACCGCCTACACGATCGACACAGCTGGATGGGATGGCTTTGCCCAGATTCTGCCCGTATATCTCGAGCACATTATCGTGCCGACCATCACCGATGAGGCCGTCACGACTGAGGTCTGGCATGTCGACGGGGACGGCAACGATGCTGGTGTCGTGTACTCCGAGATGCAGGCTGTCCAGTTCCAGAGCACAGAAATCATGGAGCTCAAGGCACGACGAATCATGTATCCTGAGAACGTTGGGTTCCGCTATGAGACTGGAGGGATGACCGAGGCGCTGAGGGTCCTCACGCCTGAGCGGATCAGAGAGTTCCACAAAGAGATGTACCAGCCTCGCAATCTCTGCCTGGTCATTGTTGGCGAGGCAGACCAAGACAATCTCATCAATATCCTAGACGAATTTGAAGAGAGTATCAAGGACGACATTCCCACACTCGATACCCCCTTCAAGCGGTAAGACTGCTCTCCCCCCTTCTACCGACAAATCTTGCTAATCGCCGTATCTAGCCCCTGGATCGACTCCGCGCAGCCACCAGAGCTCAAGGAAACAGTCATCGAGACCGCTGAATTCCCAGAGGAAGACGAATCCATGGGCGAAATTCTGGTCGGTTTCTTTGGTCCTGACTGCACCGATGTCACTGCCACATCTGCCCTCAGCATCCTCCTGACATATCTCTGCGGCTCATCTGTTTCCATTCTGGAGAATGTCATTGTCGAGAAGGAAGAGCTGGCTAGCTCAGTTTCCTACTCCTGGGACACCCGGCCGAGCACCGTCATCTGGCTCATGCCCACTGGCGTCGCTACCGAGAAGCTGGATGCGGTCTACAAGAGGCTCATTGAACTGCTCAAGGAAGTCGCATCCAAGCCCCTGGACATGAACTACATGCGCGAGTGCCTGCTCCGCGAGAAACGTCGTGTCATGTTCCATGCCGAGATATCGGAATCTTTCTACGCCACGAATATTATCAGCGACTATCTATTCGGCAAACGTGATGGATCGACACTCAAGGACCTCAAGGGCATGGACGAGTACGACATCATCGAGAAATGGACCGACGAGGATTGGCGGGCCTTTTTGCGCAGGTGGATGTCCGACAACAAGCACGTCGCCATCTTGGGCAAGCCTTCGTTCGCCATGGCGGAAAAGCAGAAGAAGGAGGAAGAGGACCGCATTGCCAAGCGCAAGGAAGAGCTCGGCGAGGACGGACTCAGGAAGCTCAAGGACACACTGGAAGCGGCAAAGAAGAAGAATGATGAGCCCATCCCTGCCGAGGTTCTTGACCGCTGGAGCGTCCCCAGCACAGAGTCCATCCACTTCATCGAGTCCGACACTGCTCGATCAGGGTACGCCCGTGCCTTGGGCCTCGGCGAGGGCGGAGCGCAAAAGACTCTGGATGCAGCGACGTCGGGCAAGCTGCCGCTTTTCATCCAGTTCGAGGATGTCCCCAGCAGCTTTGTCCACATCACTGCCCACATTGGCACGTCCGAGCTGCCCATGGAGCTGAAGCCACTCATGCCCATTTTCATCGACAACTTCTTCAACACGCCCATCAAGCGCAATGGCGAAACGGTCAACTTTGAGCAGGTCGTCATGGAGCTGGAGCGTGACACTGTCAGCTACAGCTTGAGCTCGGCTCGTTACCTTGGCGATGCAGACGGCCTCATGATCCAAATGTCAGTTGAGCCGAGCAAATATGCCGCTGCTGTGGAATGGATCCGCACCATGGCCTTTGATGCCATCTTTGACCCCGTCCGCATCAAGGCTGCCATTACCAAGGCTCTCGCCGACGTGCCGGAATCCAAGCGAGACGGTCGCGGCATGGCCTCCGAGGTTGATGCCGCCATCCACTTGGAGCGGTCAACTTTGTCCGTGGCCAGGCGCACCCTGGTCAAAGCTGTCCACCTGAAGCGCCTCAAGAAACTTCTCCAACGTGAGCCCGAGGAGGTCATTCGGTGGTTCGATCAGTTGCGCACCCAGCTTTTCAAGTTTGAGAACATGCGCTTCCTTGTCACGGCCAGCCTGAAGACTCTGCCAGAGCCTCTGACTTCTTGGGACGCTCTGTCATACAGCCTTAACGCCCCCAAGGATGAGAAGATGATCCCCATTGTCAAGCCCGTCGCTCTCCTCAACGACGAAGGCAGGAACCCCGGGAAAGTGGGCGTTGTCATTGTCCCTATCACCTCTATCGAGTCGTCTTTCACCGTCAGCACAGCTCCTGGGCTGTCGTCCTTCTCAGACCCCCAGCTGCCCGCCATGATGGTCGCTATCGGATACCTCGAGACCGTCGAAGGCCCCCTGTGGAACGCAGTTCGCGGGGCTGGCTATGCCTACGGCTCTTTTTTCAGCCGCAACGTCGACGCTGGCACGCTGTCGTACAGGGTGTACCGCTCCCCTGACGCGGCCAAGGCTATCGCTGCCTCACGCGATGCTATCCTGAACATTGCCAATGGTACCGTGCCCGTCGACAAGCATCTTCTCGAGGGGACTGTCAGCCAGATTGTGACCATGTTCGCCGATGAGCAGTCGACAATGCCCAGCGCGGCGCAGCAGAACTACATCCAGGCTGTTGTGCGTGACTTACCCAAGGATTGGTCCAAGCAGATCCTCAGGAGAGTCCGCGACGTCACGGTGGATGAGATGAAGAAGGTCATGACGGATATCATCATGCCATGCTTCGAGCCTGGCAAGAGCAACATGGTGGTTACATGCAGCAAGTCCATGAGCGAGGTAAGTTTTTCTTGTTATCCCCGAGTAGAGAACTGTCTAACGATGTTACAGGGACTGGAGAAGGCGTGCAAGGCTGTGGGCTACAAGGTCCAGATCAAGGAGTTGAGTGACTTCCACGACGACTATGGCCTCAGCGCCGGCGACGAGGAGGAGGATGACGAAGAAGATGAGGACGAAGAGGAGGATTCGGAGGGCGAGTCGGGTAGTGATGACTCAGATGACTCGGACGCAAAATAGATGATAGTCCCTCCGATGATTGAGTAATAACGGATCAAAATCAGGGATTTCTTTTCGCGCCTTTTCAACTACTGTACAAGAATGCTCATTCGCATTGTGACATTGTGCTCCAACTGCACAGCATGCTGCACGTCTGCCACGAAGTCTACTTCTAAAGCTCGTCCCTGCCAGAGGCCTTGACGACACCCTCCTTCACATCACCATCGAGCACCTTCTCCTCACCGGTCCACCCTAGAGCCTTGAGTCGCTCAGTGACGTGGGGGTGCGAGAAGTGGTACGTGGCGTAGATGGGGTCAGCATCAAGGCTGCTCAGATTCTTGGTGTGCAGCCTGAGGAGGGACTTGGCCAAGTCCTTCGACATGCCGAGATCCTTGGCAAACTTGTCTGCCTCGAACTCGTACTTGCGCGTGACCATGTTCATGCCCAGCTTGACGAGCATGTCGAACGGCGCCAGGGTTTCGTTAAACAGGAGGAAGCCAATGATAATGGGGCGCTGGGAGAGGAACCCGAACGAGGAGTAGAGTGAGCCATTGTTGATGAAGACGGAGAAGAGGGTAAAAACGTATAGCAGGTGCGCCTGCGAGATGCCCATGAGCTTCGATGTGTGGCCCATCTTCCAGTGTCCGAGCTCGTGGCCCAAGACGGCCTTGACCTCGTCCGGGCTGTGGTCATTGATGAGCGTATCGTATAGGACAATGTGCTTTTTCCAGGGGAGACCGAAGAAGTAGGCGTTGGAGTGAGCACTGCGCTTGCTGCCGTCGATGACAAGGAGCTCGTGAAGAGGGAACTTGAGCTGCTCGGCGAGGCCGTCCACCTTGGTCTTCAACTCGCCCTCTTCGAGCGGCGATAGCTTGTTGAACAGAGGAAGAATGAAGGTTGGGTAGGCAGCCGTCATGAAGACCTGGAGACCAGCCGCGAATGTCCAGAGATAGAAGAAGAACTGGTTGCCCGTCTTCTGGATGATCTTGAGGAAGCCAGCGAGAATTGGCGGCAGAACGACGGCAGTGATGAGATTGGTCTTGATCATGTCCGTGAAGAAAAGGGCCGGGGTCTGCTTGTTGAAGCCATACTTCTCCTCCAAGACGAAGGTGTAGTACAGCTGGGACGGAAGGTTGAACACTTGCTGGACAGCGAGAAACGAGAGGATGAAGACGATGGAATGGCTCAGTTCGCCCGTGAAGCGCGCAGACGCTATCCTGAGGAGTAGGTCGCCCGTCAGATCCCAGAGCTTGGGAAGGACGTCGAACTGGTACACTGCGAGATTCTGGAGGAGGTCCCAAAGGCCGTTAACCATGGAGAACTTGGCCTTTGCGCGGCCGTAAGCCTGGGACTTTTCGAAGTCGGCGGTGGACACTTCTTTAGCGAGGACCTGGGGAGGAGATGGGCGGTTCAGGACACGATATTGACGGAACGTGAGGAACGATTCGAATACGTAGTGGCCGATCGAGAAGCCCATGATCAGGCGCTTCCAAGGGAAGAGCGGCCGATCGAGGAAGCGCGCCAGGCGCTGCCATAGTCAGCAATTCGCACTTTTGGTATGGGTATCTGGGAGCGAACCTGCAAAAAGTCCATCATGGCGAAGCAGTTGGAACGGATGGGGAGGGTTGATGGTGTTCGTGTGGAAAGTAAAGAAGCTCGCGTGGCCTGAACGACGTCCAAGAGATACCCCAGCTTGAGTCGAGCCTGGCCGTCGCGGCGCGGGAAGCCGCCCGCATTCTTATTAATACGCCTCCACCCACATCATTTCTTACTACTTACAGCGTCCAACGTCCTCGGCTTGGGGATATGGAAATGTTCGGAGATTCAGTTTCTCAGAAACTTCCGATCTCACCACTCAAGACATGGACATTGGGTGCGACCTGGCCACAGGTGTGAGGTCTTGTCCTAACGCCAGCATTCACTGGGCCACAGCCACAGCGCATTCACTGGCATCGACGACTACGTTCTGCTCATGGTCGGCAATTCGCCAATGCAGTGAGTCAATGCAGTTATGTGCACGAGACGCACTCCTGGCGGCCTGAGGCACGGCCGTGCTCACACCATTTCTTTACAGGCCGCTCAAATAGAGGCGGGCCCATTGGCAAGATATCGGACAATCACGCCTGGAAGTGTGCAACGTGCAAATACTTGCGTATTCATCATCTTCTAGTGGCCATTGACGCTATGCTGGACCTGCTGGTGAGGTGGTCGTTCTGGCCCATAGACCGGCGCGGCCTGGCTCCCGGAACGCACCTCATCCTCTGTATCCTCGTCGTCTTCAGCCTCATCGAACTCGCTCAGCTCCTCCTCTTCCTCGGAATACTCGCTTTCCTCCTCATCGCCCTCGCCCTGGGGATGCGGGTCGTTGTAGCTGTCGAGGGTGCTTGCCAAGTTGGGAGGAACCTGCCGGCCTTGCTGCTGCATGCCCTGTATGATGCTCATGAGCTTGTTGCTCTTCCGATCGGCCTCATCGCTCTTCCTTTTCCACTCCTGACGTTCCTCCGCCATGCGGATGATGTTGGCGTTCGTGGCGTCTTTGTGTCTCTTGAGCGCGTCGTTCTCCTTCTCCAGCCGCTTGCCCTTTTTAGACATGTCCTCCATTTCTTTCCGGAAAGATAAGAAGAGATCATTGCTATTGTTCAACGTGTCCTCGACCTGCTGACGCATTAGTCAGAACTGCGAAGCTAGCGCATCAGTCTACTCACCTGCTTGAACTTGTCGACATATATATTGAGCTGATTCCTCAACTCCGTCTCCGTCTTGGTGAATGCTTGGACCTGGCTTTGCAGTTGGCGAGATTTTGATGACTCCGCTTCGGCATTCTTCTTCTCCCTCTCGTAGCGCGACATGTGATACTGCACTTCCAGCTCCTTTGTCCGCATGAGGGAGTGGAAGTGTAGCTCACGTAGCTCGTACTGGTCAATGAGCGACTTGAAGCGAGTTTTGAAGCTGGAAAAAAGGTCAGCCGGTCAAGATCGCCGAGTGCAAGTACCCCAGCGCCAACATACAGATCCTCCATGGCTATGTCCACCACCTGCTTCTTGGGCACGTCTCTGTCTTCCTGGCAACCTTCAAGTCGGGCAAGAACCTGCGCAAAACGTTCATCCGACGCGCTCTTGGCATGCACGTGTGTCGTGTAGAGTTCCTTATTCTCTGTCTGGTACGAGCGCCAGCGTCAGCGCAGTTCACCGGGTGGTTGCATTTCAATCCGTACCTTGAGCTTGTTGTTGTCCTTTTGCAGTTCTCTGCACAGCTTCTCGAGTTTCTCCTTGAGCTGAACTTGCTTCGACAGATCCGAGCGGCTGTTGTCGCGCTCCTTTTGCAGCACGTCACCTCGCTTCCTATTCTTCTGGTTTTCGCGGTCGACCCGGCGCATTTCCGCAAGAAGGTCGCTGGACTTCTTCATCAGAAAGTCGATCTTGGGCACATCGTCCATCTTGGCAGTTTGGTTGATCATGTCGCGGTGGGCACGCTTAACCTCACGTTCTATACACCATCAGACTCGACATCCATCATTGTTTCTCGCGGCGCTGACGTACCAATTTCTGCCTCCTGCTCTTTGTCCGCTGTAGCATCTTGTTCCAACTGGGAAATCCTGGCCTGGAGAAGTCGTGTCGCTTCATCGCTGCTGGCAGGGCCGCCGGAGGCCTTCTTGGATTTGGCCGATCCCTTTCTGGAGCCGGTGCTGGCACTGTGAGAAGAGTGCGACGTCTCATCATGTCCGTTGGACAGGGCATTTTCGGGGTGATTCGCGGGCATGTTGGGCATCTGCTTTCATCCAATTCGTCACGCGGGCGGGCAAGTCGAGCGTTGAAGGCGCGCGAATTCCCAGACTGAACAATCGCGGGAGACCGACGACCTCAAGTCTGGGATTGCGCAGTCGCTGGTTTCGATCGTCGATGTGTATGTTTCCGTCCTATTTGGAGGACAGCAATGGCGGTTCTTATCCCTGTAGAGGCCACATTAGATCCAAGACAGCACAAGCGCGACGATTTCTGGTGACGCTCGCCCACAATCCGCCGTAACGTACCAGTGCTGGGTATTCCAATATCTCGGCGGCTAGGAAACCGTCGTCATATGACGTGGTGCACTGTACAGGTCGATTGCTACGCGCCGTTGAGTGGGTTTCGTCGTCAAGAACCACCTAGAAGAAAGAGGTTGTGGTGGTTTTCTCAACAGTGGTGATGCAGCGACGGACTGTTAGCACAATATCTGCCATCGGCGGAGGTTTCGCACTGGACAGCATTGCACACTATCGCGTCCGGACTAGCGGCCTGGGATGGGGCCGAAATGTACTCCACACTTTTGACGTTACTAAGCATCGGCTTGCAGGTGCGACAGGGTCCATGGTCTTTTCATGCAGGTGCGAGGATTCCTCGCCGTCATTATCTCGATATCCCCTGTGCAACCTCAACATTTCTTGTATTTCTATCTTGTTGTTGTATCTCTTGTACTTTTCTTTCGTTTCTGTATCGTAAACCCGGTATGTTGCGCAACGCAGCAGCGACAGCGCGCAAGGCTGTCACAGATTTGGGGCAGTTTCCTAAGGCTGGCGACAAGCTCCATGGCTTCACGCTCGTTCGATCGAAACACGTCCCCGAGCTCGAATTGACCGCGGTGCACCTTCAGCACGACAAGACAGGCGCCGACTACCTCCATATTGCGCGTGACGACAGCAACAATGTCTTCTCTATCGGCTTCAAAACTAATCCCCCAGATGACACTGGCATCCCCCATATCCTCGAGCACACAACCCTTTGCGGTAGTGAAAAGTATGTCGGCGGCCCTAGACGGATCGCGCGCAGACCGCTGACAGGCCCAGATATCCGATTCGCGATCCTTTCTTCAAGATGTTGCCGAGGACTCTTTCCAACTTCATGAACGCGTTTACCGCATCGGATCATACGTTCTATCCCTTCGCCACGACCAACGCCCAGGACTTCAAGAACCTCATGTCCGTCTACCTCGATTCGACGCTCAAGCCTCTCCTGAAAGAGTCGGACTTTACGCAAGAAGGTTGGCGAATCGGGCCCGAGAATCCGCTGGCCGAGGATCCAGAAAGCAAGAAGCTCGTCTTCAAGGGGGTGGTCTACAATGAGATGAAGGGCCAGATGTCCGACGCCGGCTATCTCTACTACATCAGATTTCAAGATCACATCTTTCCGGCCATCAACAACTCGGGTGGCGACCCTCAAAAGATCACCGACCTGACCTACGAGCAACTGAGGAATTTCCATGCCGAGCATTACCATCCCAGCAACGCAAAGGTCTTCACATATGGAGATATGCCGCTCGCCGATCACTTGAAGGAGGTCGACGCTCGTCTTCAAGCCTTTGAGAAGATCAGGGCTGATCGCAACATCCACGAACCCGCAACGCTAGATGGCCCTCGGGAGGTCACCCAGTATGGACCCTTGGACCCCCTGGTTGCCTCGGACCGACAATACAAAACCTCTGTATCCTGGGTGACTGGAGACACCACGGATGTCTTGGAGTCCTTCTCTATCGCGCTCCTGTCGACGCTATTGATGGACGGTTACGGCTCACCCTTGTACCGAGGGCTTGTAGAGACTGGTATGGGAGCCGACTGGAGCCCAAACGCAGGCTACGATAGCGGGGCCAAGCGTGGAATTTTCTCGATTGGACTCACTGGCGTTCAAGAAGCTGATGTGCCGAAGCTAAGGGGACGTATCCAGGAGATCTTGCGCGATGCTCGAGACAAGGGTTTCGACAGGACCAAGATTGACGGTTCCTTGCATCAGCTTGAGCTTGGCCTCAAGCACAAGACGGCCAACTTTGGCTTCTCTATGCTCAATCGGCTCAAGCCCAAGTGGTTCAACGGCGTCGATCCCTTTGATTCGCTGGCATGGAACGACACATTGACCCGCTTCCAGCAGAAGTTGGACCAGGGTGGTTATCTCGAAGGCTTGATCGACAAGTATCTCCTGAACGACAACACTTTGACATTCACCATGGCTCCCTCTACCACATTCGGCGAGGAGTTGGTCAAGGAGGAGCAACAGCGCTTGTCGTCCGTGATCAAGGCAGCCGAGGAGAAGGCTGGCAGTGCCGAAAAAGCCCGCGAAATCTTCGAGAAACAAGAGCAAGACCTTCTGGTTGAGCAGAACAAGACCAACACTGAGGATCTCAGCTGTCTGCCCACTGTCTACGTCAAGGATATCCCCCGAGCCAAGGATTCTGTGGTTGTCCGCGACGAGAAAGTGGGCAATATTCCTGTGCAATGGCACGAAGCCCCAACAAATGGCCTCACTTATTTTCGGGCCATCAATACCCTTGACAATTTGCCAGACGACCTCCGGGAGCTGATCCCCCTGTTCACAGACAGCATCATGCGTCTGGGAACCAAGGACATGACCATGGAGCAGCTTGAGGATCTAATCAAGCTGAAGACTGGAGGCGTTTCAGTGGGCTACCACTCCACCCCTTCCCCTACGGACTTCCAGCAGGCCAGCGAGGGCATTATCTTCACTGGCATGGCTCTAGACCGCAACGTCCCCGCGATGTATGGCTTGCTCTCCAAGCTGGTGCTGGAGACAGATTTTGACAGCCCTGAAGCTGCACTTCGCATCCGTCAACTGCTGCAAGCATCGTCAGATGGCATAGTGAACGACATTGCATCTTCAGGCCATCGGTTCGCGATGGGCTACGCCGAATCTACACTGACACGCAGTGCTTGGCTACGCCAGCAAGTCGGTGGCCTTTCGCAGGTCAAGCTCACGACACAGCTAGCAAGTCGTCCCGAAACCGACTCACTGGAAGATGTCATCGGGAAGCTCAAGAAGATTCAGAGCTTTGCTCTGGCGAATGAGAACCTGCGCACGGCCCTGACCTGCGGTTCTGAGAGCGCTGCGGCCAACGCTAGCTCCTTGCAATCCTTCGTGAGCAGTCTGCCTGCAGGAGGTGTAGCGCCCACGGTTCCAGGGCTCACCCCGTTGCCCAAGGATAGCAAGACCTTCTTTCCCCTCCCATACCAGGTCTACTACGGAGGCCTGTCCGTACCGACAGCATCGTACACGTCCAAGGACACGGCGCCCCTGCAAATTCTGTCACAGCTTCTCACACACAAGCACCTCCACCACGAGATCCGCGAGAAGGGTGGAGCATACGGCGGCGGAGCCTACTCCCGAGCGCTTGACGGCCTCTTTGGCTTCTACTCTTACCGCGACCCGAACCCTCAGAACACCCTGGGCATCATGCGCAATGCAGGCCGTTGGGCCCGGGACCGCACGTGGTCCGACCGCGATCTCGAGGAGGCAAAGATCTCTGTGTTCCAGAGCGTTGATGCGCCCAAGGCTGTCAATCAGGAGGGCATGGCCAAGTTCCTCTCTGGCATCACTGAGGAAATGCGTCAGGAGAAGAGACTGCAATTACTCGATGTGAGCAAGGACCAGGTGCGCGACGTGGCCCAGAGATACCTTGTCGACGCCGTGGAGAAGGGCAACGAGAGGTCAGCTTTCTTGGGCGAGAAGGCTTCCTGGGTTGACAGATCGTGGGCTGTGAAGGACATGAACATCAAGACGGGCGAATGATCTGTAAGATAATACCGGAACGGACGTATATAAAGCTAGACACGGTACATAGACATGACGCTACTCACTCTCACCTTGATTTCCGTCAATTGGAACTGTGCTTTGAGCACGCGTTCAGATACGATACGTCTTACTGCCTCTTCAATGACAGTTAGGCCACAGAGCAACGCAAGAAAAGATCACCATCCCTGAGCGCCTCTCCTTCGTCCTTTGTCGGTTTCTCCTGGCTGCGGTGCTTCGGCATCAAGCTGGATGGGCTGCCAAGTTGGTGAAGGTCTGGAGACACTGAGGGATACTCGCTTTCTCAGAGCCGGACTCCTTGAGCTTTGGATTACTGGACTAAAAAGCCGAGAACATGCATTTCATCAAGAAAAGAAGAAGACCAATCGAAATCTACTTAGATCGGAATATATGTCCGCGTCCTGAGAGGTTTTGGATGTCCAGGAAAATGCGGTCACGTGCCCAACCACACCCTGTGTGTCGAGCCTCTAAGAAGGCATCCCTTGGTCATGGTCGTCACACCGCATGTGTTGCAAATGTTCTAGAAATGTGGCAATTGCCCGTTCCTGACTATCCTGCCGAGGCCGCATTTGGAGTGAGACAAGCCAAGAAAGGAATGGTAATCAAAATGCACGGAACCTCGAGGCTCGAGGGTCATCTTGCTTGCCCAGCGTGCAACTTTTGACTCTCTTGAGCAATAATTTTCTTGCCCCGCATACGTCACCGTAGCCGCAATTATATGGGGCATCATGATGGTGATCCGAATGACGAGGAGCGCAAGCAGACTGGACTTAGCGCAGAGATGAAGAACAGAACTGAATTGAACGAATGACGCAGAGAACTGCTTGGATATCTAGTGACGGTCGTCTAGAAACTGCGCGACCGTGTACTGGCCTTTGGTGGTCAATCGGCGGGCAATGGTGGTTGGTCGCTGCGCTGTCAAAGACGGTGACGTGCCGTTCGCAGTCTGACCATTTCTATGGGCTCCCGGGACGCTTGCGCTGCGCTTCAGTTCAACGCACAGCGGGCTGCGTATCCGAAGGGCAATTGTCTGGGCTCTCAGCCTTGCACTGTGAATTAATGTGCCCAATCGCGGCCATTGCATTCGAAGTTGACCGACAGTCTACAGATGCTGCCCATGTCAGGAAGAGAAATTACCGCAGGCCCAGTGAATGCCCAGTGATGGCGTTCGGGATTACTCCGTAGGGCATTCAGGTTGGGTGTCGAAGAATTTGGTGGTTGCAGGGGGAAAAGGGGAAAATTTTGTGTGGCTGACGCTGGACGCTGCCTGGCGGCCCTGGCCTGGCCTTCTGCCACGGAAGGGGAAAAGACGCCTGAAACGATGATCCGCCGGGAAGCCTCGATCTGTGCGCCCACTGCCAAGCAGGAGGAGCTTTCACCACTCCCACACTGCACTCAATAAATTCTATAGCTAGCCCCCCTCCAGGTTCGCTCTTCTTGACTTTCTGCACCTCACCAAGGAACGAAAGCACTCTCGCCTTCTCGTCAAGACTGACTGACCGATTGTTAATTCTCTCTAACTTATTCGCCCCGGCGAACCGCATCGAAAACTTGCTCTGGAGCCCCATCCAAGGTGAGTCGTTTTTCGCATCCCCCCACACATCCGTCTCGACCGCCTCGCTTGCCATCCGTACTACAGCGCCGATGCCATTTCCGTTGAGGCGCTGCTGTTGGTCTGGCTTGCGGGACGCCTCGATATCCCGACAAAGAACCTTGTACTGACTCGACCCTTGCTGCAGAGCTACACCTCACCGACCCGACTGCCTTTGGTCGTTTCAAAGGCACCACCGCCAACACGGCTTTCTGGGCCGTTACGTTTGTCAGTGACCGCGATTTCAGCCTGCGCAAGATCAGCCACATCATCAACGCGATCCCCCCTCCACCTGCTGCCGCTGAGCGACCGTAAAGTACTCGACAACCTGCAGTTCAACTCAGGCTCAGGCCGCCAGTCCGAACAGGATCCGTTCTTCGACACCCGTCAGCTGCCGCATAGGAGGAATCTTGTGTCTCTTCCTCTCGTAGAGGGAGAGTCGAGGAGGCCTCGTCAGTCCATTGAGGGTTCAGTCTGCTATCGCTTTCGACCGCCCTAAGACCGCTTCAAGCCCCAACAAGCTTTTCAGTCACCCACACCACCCACTGCAGCCACGGATATGGTCATGGCAGCTGCTGCACTCGAGCAACATGTCATCCCTGATCATCATACGCTGATGAGGAAGAGGCCCTCCATCGTGGAAACTCTGATACATCCCAGTGATGAAAATGCCCCCCAACCGGTCAACCCCAAGAAGCTCATCGGCGAGGCCCTCCACCAGCGCGTCGAGGCCATCGACCACGAGCTCTGCGATGCTGGCGAGGAGGACACCTTCTACGTCGCTGACTTGGGTGACGTGTACCGCCAGCACCTCCGCTGGAAGAAGAACCTCCCTCGCGTCAAGCCCTTCTATGCGGTCAAGTGCAACCCGGACCCCAAGGTCCTGAAGCTCCTCTCTGAGCTTGGCACTGGCTTCGACTGCGCCTCCAAGACGGAAATCGAACAGGTCCTGTCCATGGGCACGAGCCCCGACCGCATCATCTACGCTCAGCCCTGCAAGACAAACTCCTACGTTCGCTTCGTCAAGTCTGCCGGCGTCAAGCAGATGACCTTTGACAATGCGGATGAGCTCTACAAGATCGCTAAACTCTACCCCGGAGCCGAGCTCTTCCTCCGTATCATGACGGACGACACCTCCAGCTTGTGCCGCCTGAGCATGAAGTTCGGTGCTGCCATGGACACCACTGAAAGTCTCCTCAGCTTGGCCAAGGACCTGAGCCTCAGCGTCGTCGGTGTCAGCTTCCACGTTGGCTCCGGTGCGTCGGACCCCATGGCTTTCTTCCAGGCCGTGCGTGATGCCCACACTGTTTTCCAGCAGGGCCGCGACTATGGCTTCGCTATGCGTACCCTCGACGTGGGTGGTGGCTTCACTGGCGACACTTTCGAAGACATGGCTGCCGTCCTCGACGGTGCCTTGACCGAGTTCTTCCCTGCTGGCTGCGGCGTCGATATCATCGCCGAGCCCGGTCGTTACTACGTCTCCTCGGCTTTCACCATTGCCTGCAATGTCATTGCGCGCCGCACTGTCGAGGACCCAACGCTCGACGGCAAAGGTTACATGATCTACGTCAACGACGGTGTTTATGGCAACTTCTCTTCCATCATGTTTGACCATCAGAACCCCATCGCCAAGATCCTGCGCGCCAGCGGTCAAACGCTCTACAATACCCCCATCGCCAACCCTGTACCCATCGCCGAGGGCGTTGAGTACTCAGTCTGGGGACCCACCTGCGACGGCATCGACCGCATTGCGGAGAGTATCCGTTTCGACGCAATTCTGGACGTCGGCGATTGGCTCTACTTCGAGGACATGGGTGCCTACACTAAGTGCTCTGCCACTCAGTTCAATGGCTTCAGCAACGCTCACGATGTCATCTATGTTTGCAGCGAGCCTGGTGCGGAAGCCCTCATTCGGCTGTAAGAGAAGAGGGCGACTCTTGTTCAGCCCACGTCGGATCCAGTCAGTATACGAGAAGAACCGGACAAATCCTGGAATAGGAATATACTTCTATCGACTTAGTATTGGAGTGAATACAGATGATTGAGCGAACACTTGACTCCGCAAGCTACGCGTGGTGATGGTTTGCGGCGATCGGAATCGGCCGCCATGCATGGCGATTAGTTGATCCGCTGTGCGTGGCGCGATAAGCGTGCCTTTGATTGTGTGATAATATGCCGTCCGGTCTGATTTTCAGGAACCACGTCTCATTGCATTGTCAACCTGCCAATGAGAATTGGCCGTTCAGATGGTAAGGTATTTGGGGTTGCAGCGGTGTAGAGTAGCGCGCGTCTTCCAAGCTGTACTTGGACAACCTACGTTTGATGCTTACAACTGGAGAGCGTCTGCGACCGTTTCTCGGTAACGAGAATGCAAAAGATACCATAGTATCGCAAAGGCTTTTACATGTCCTAGGCAGAATGAACAGGAGGCCCAGAAATATTAGGCTGTATAGCCCGGAAACACGAAAATTGCTGGGCGACTATGCGAGCTGGGGTTGGACAACAACAGCAGCCGTTCCTGAGATCCGGACACCGGTCTTGTCCGTCCGCATCGTGTCATCAGCCGATGCATGCAATTATCCGGCAGCCCGCCTCGCGGCCTCATGCAGCACGGACGACTTTCGATAAAGAGACAACCGCACGAATCAGATGCCTTAACCCCGGCCTCTCTCCGCACGGAGACGATCGGCAGATGTAACACTATCGGCACTTGAAGTCTTGGACACCGAGAAACCAAGGAAACGCCCAGCGGTACGATACCTCAAGTTCCCATCATGCCGCGTCCCAGGGGTCTGACCTTTGGATAATAAGGTTAATATGCAGACATTAGAAGCGGCGTTCCCTGAATGGATGGGTAGAAAGGGGTAAAGGCAAGCACTACGGGGACAGCCATGGCCACTCGTTATCCGTGCTACCCGACAAGGTATAATAAGCATGGACAAGGGCGACCTCTTGTGAAGATGCTGTCTCTTTGGACAACCAAGCTCGCCACGCGTCTCCCATGATGAGGTCCTTCATCCTTTCCCTGGCGCTGCCGCTCGCCAATGCCTTCACCATCAACGTCGCCTCGTCCGGTGGTAACGCCACTTCTGGAAAGCAGTATGGCTTCCTCCACGAGGACATCAACAACTCTGGCGATGGCGGCATCTACGCCGAGCTGATCCGCAACCGAGCCTTCCAATACTCTGACTCGTACCCCTTGTCTCTGGACGGCTGGCGACCTGTGGGTAACGCAAAGCTCAACACCAGCCGATTGGATGAGCCATTGAGCGATGCTCTCCCCGTCAGCGTCAACGTTTCCCCCCGCAAGTGCACCCCCAGGGGGAATGCTGCCGGCAATGGCAACATTGGTCTCTTGAACGAAGGGTATTGGGGAATGGCTGTCGAGGAGAAGACCTACACGGGTAGCTTCTGGGTGTTTGGTGGCTACGAAGGTGTCTTCACGGCCGAGCTGCGCAGCGACCTTGAGGAAGATGTCGTGTTTGGCAGCGTCGAGATTGAGAGTGAGGCCCAAGAGGGCAAATGGGTCGAGCACACCTTTGAGCTGGTGCCGGAGAGCAACGCACCCAATAGCAACAACACCTTTGCTTTGACCTTTGACCCTGCTGTAAGCTTACTCGCCTAGAAGGCTTGGATTGGAGTGGTGGCAGCTTCTAACCTCTGTATAGGGCCTTACGGATGGCTCTCTCGACTTCAACCTGATCAGCCTTTTCCCGCCCACCTACAAGAACAGGAAGAATGGTCTCCGTGTCGACATTGCCGAAGCACTCGCTCAACTCCACCCGGTTTGTCCCCACGTTCAATCACATTGATCTTGTACTAATAAGCGTAGTCCATGTTGCGGTTCCCGGGCGGCAACATGCTCGAAGGCGAGACCAACAAGACATACTGGGACTGGAAGGATACCCTTGGCCCCCTCAAAGATCGCCCTGGCTTCCCAGGCGTCTGGGGCTACCAACAGACTCACGGCCTAGGACTCGTCGAGTACCTGGAATGGGCTCAGGACATGGAACTTGATATCGGTACGATGACGTATCCACACCCTCGGCAGAAACCTTCTAACATGCACAGTAATCGGTGTCTGGGCTGGCCTTGCCCTGAACGGCGATATCACCCCCAAGGACGAGCTTCAGCCTTTCATCGACGACGCCCTGGACCAGATCGAGTTCATTTGCGGACCTGCTGATTCGACCTGGGGTTCGGTTCGCGCAAGCCTCGGTCACCCTGACCCATGGCCTCTGCACTACGTCGAGGTGGGCAACGAGGACTGGCTCGCTGGCGGCCCCGAGGGCTGGGAGAGCTACCAGGAGTACCGCTTCCCCATGTTCATGGAGGCCATTCGCGAAGCTTACCCAGACATCACTGTGATCTCCTCCGGCGCCACCAGCGATGGATATGATATCCCAGCCCCTGGAATCGGCGACTATCACCCTTACCGTGAGCCCGATGCGCTCGTCGAGGAGTTTGACATGTTTGACAACAACCCCGTCGGCCACATCATTGGCGAGGTCGCTGCTACACATCCCAACGGCGGCATTGGCTGGGATGGCGATCTGATGCCGTTCCCGTGGTGGATCGGTAGCGTGGGCGAGGCCGTCAGCATGATCGGCTACGAGCGTAACGCAGACCGTATCCCAGCGACATACTACGCCCCCGTCCTGCGTTCCATGGACAGGTGGCAGTGGGCTGTCACGCTGGTCCAGTTTGCTGCTGACCCCAAGCTGACCACCCGCTCCTGCAGCTGGTACATCTGGGAGTTGTTCGCCGCCCACCCCATGACGCACACCCTGCCAGCCGAGGGAGAGCTTGACCCTCTCTTCTACGTATCAGGCACCAACCAGGACAAGCAGTCCTTCATCTGGAAGGCAGCCGTCTACAACACGACGAACCATGCGGACGTACCCGTCTCACTGTCCTTTGAGGACGTCGAGCCGGGCACAAAGGCCACCCTGACGGTGCTGACCAACATTGAGGGCGACCCGTATGCATACAATGACCCCCACGAAGGCAACAACATTGTCGGCAGCACGGTGACAACGGTCGAGGCTGGCGATGACGGTGCCTTCGAGTTCGAACTCCCAGAACTCAGCGTTGCGCTCCTGGACACGGCTCAGGAAGATCTCCAGACCAGGGACAGACTCGATGCCAGGGAACCGTCGAAGAGTTGGAGGGCCTGATTGTGTTTGCATGCAAGCTGAGGGATATGAGACTACAGGCACATCGAATCAAGATAAACCGTTGCACTAATATAGACGGCCTGTGTAGTTGAAATCTTTTCTATCCCATCTCCCATGTCCTGGGCGAAGCAATCGTGAACGCCATGCTGCGATGGTAGAGGGTCAAAACGTCCTCTGCGTGTTAATCTAATATCAGATAAAATCCGCCGGGCATGGATAAATGATAATGGTCCTGTGGCTCCGAAGAAGACTATACCTTTAACTTCCGCGGAACAAGAACTGCATGTCTTCGGGCGTCAAAGATTCCATGGCCTTGGAATCGCCATTCACCGTGGAATGAATCATGTTTGTCTTCTTTTCTTGGATCAGTACCATTCGACTTTCCACCGAATCTTCGATACACAGCCGGGTGATTGTGCAAGGACGAGTCTGGCCGATGCGGTGGCAGCGATCAGCCGATTGCCATTCTGCAGCGGGATTCCACCAGCTACCAAGATGTTAGCTCACATTGATTTGGAATGTTCAGTGACAACTCACGGGTCAACAATGAAGACACGGGATGCCTCAGTCAGGTTCAGGGCCACGCCGCCAGCTTTGAGCGAAACCAAAAAGCATTCAACATCCACGTTGTTCATGAAGTGTTCGATCGAGGCCTGACGCTGGGCTGGAGTCATGCTGCCATCGAGCATGACAGTGGTGATGCCGGCACGACGGAGGCGCCACTCGATCAACTGCAACATGGTGGTAAACTGCGAGAAGATGATGGATTTGTGGGTGGCGTTGTCCGAGCGGAGCTGATGTAGGTCATGAACCAGAAGCTCAATCTTTGACGAAGAGGTCCAGTTCTCCATCTTGATGCGATTGATAATCGACGACTTCTTGACGTGGTTCTCATCCTGTTCAATCTCTGGTTGCTCCAAGTCGATAGCGAGAGGGATGTGACATCGCGGGCAGTCAGGAGTATCTGTGGATTTGACGTATCCAGCCACACAGGCACGGCAGAAGTCGTGCTTGCAACGACTTTTGACCGTGTCCTCAGCTGGCTCGTCGCAGATGCAGCAAACAAGGACATTCTGCCCACCGTCGGCATTCTTCTTCAGAATGAGATCTGGGTGATCCGCAACTTGTCTCATCTGCATGATCAGACCAAAGATATTGGCATAGTTGTTGAGCAAAACACCTTGAGCAACGTAGGTATCAAACTTGCGTTGGCCACTCGTCATGATGCTGTTTGCAAAATCGTTCTCTTCCTCGCCAAAGAATTGCCGGTCAATCTGAATTTCTTTCACAGGCAACTCCATCGAGTTGGTATGGTCCTTTTTGAGGCGCCGGAGCATGATGCGTTCAGTCATGAGGCGGAGCTTTTGGAAGGCCTCCCGACCAGGGCCCATGTTGCCATATTTCTGAATGGGATTGAGCAGCTCCTGATTGAAGACCGATACATGCTGCATACCCGAATGGTTGCATTGTGAGCATCTTCGCTCCTCATCCATCGACCACTCCATCGTTGAGCAAGGACATTGCTTGCACAGGTATGAGGAAAACGGCTTGACATTGAGAAAGCGAATAAGAGAGAAAAACTCCCCAATACGGTTCTGCAATGGAGTGCCTGTCAAGCACCACCGGTAGTTTGTCTTCAGGGCGAAGCAGGCTTTCGCAGTCATGGTGCTACGGGTCTTGATGCTGTGCGCTTCATCGAGGATGATCCGATGGAAGTGCAGAGAGTGGATTACACTCTGCTCTTTGTGAATGCCAGTCTTGCGCGTGAAGCCTTTCTCTTGCTTCCGGTACATGGACTCAAGACTGTTGTACGACATCATTATGACATCGTACTTCTTGAGCTCTTTGATGGTGATGCCTTTGACTTGCTGGTTTGTCGCATGAAAAACAAACGTTTTGAGGGTTCCATCGGTGTAGGATTTAATCTCAGACTGCCACTGCATCAGTGCAACTGGAGGAACCAGCACGAGAGACGGTTGCTTGGCTGGGTAATCAGACATGATGAGCGACACGGCCTGTATGGTTTTTCCTAGGCCCATTTCGTCGCCCAGCAGGCCACCTTTCCATTCCTGCTTCTCCATCTCTTTCATCCAAGCAAGACCTTCAAGCTGGAACGGCTTCAACCGACGTGAAATGTTCAGCGGCTGCTCAGCTTTGCCAGCATTAATGACTGGCTTAGCCCGCAAGTCATCCCACATCGTGAGGATTTCCGAATGGTGTTTTTCAAGTCTGTTGCGCTCTTTTTGAGCCCGACCGGTATGACGAGATCGTACGTATCCTCGCCGTGTCTCCGTGATGCGGCGCGCAGGAGCAGTGGAAGCCGACTCTGAATCACTAGTAGGAGCGGAATCCAGCCCCGAGCCAATGGACGATATCGCACTAGATTCCGTCGCAGCGTAGCCAGGGGGCAGGTTATCAGACTCGGCACTCAGGAGATCACCGGGCAATTCTGCTCCGACTCTGGAGTTGATGGTAGCCGCGCGCCTCTTACGGGTAGCGCTCAAAGGCATATCATCTTCCGAATCGGCGTCTGAGTCGGCGTCTGAATCGGCGTCTGAATCTTTGATGTACTCATCATTCTGCAGCCGAAGCGCCAGCGCAGCATCATCATCAACATCGATCCCGCTGTGCAAGATCTTTGCTTTCTTTGAAGGATGGCCAGTTGCGATGGATGAAACAGTCGAGGTTCTACCGCGCTTGGTAGTGGCGGATGGAGTCGAAGATCCCGCTTTTTTATTTTCGAGCTTCTGAAGGTCCCGGGCCATGGTGTAGTCAACAGCGCTATGAAACGAGTCTTCGTCGTTTTCATCTTCTTCGCTGTCTGCGATGATTGTTCGTGGCCTCATTGCGTACTCGCTGTTGCGGTCATGGCGCTGTCGCGCAGGGCCGCCAGACGGGACCCTGACCTCAATGTGTGATTTCAAGGCTTCTGGAATGTCGGCGGCAGCCGGAGTCGGGAACTTGCTGGTAGGAGCTGTAGAAGGGTCGCTTTCTGATGTGTCATCGCCAGTGACTGGGAATGACGAGCCTGCCTCACTCATGGTGGTGGAAGCAGATGCTCGACCTGACCTCCGCGATGGAGTGGGTGCACCTTGAGACGTTGACGAAGTTGATGTAGTCGATGCCAAAGACTTGCGAGGCCTACCTCGACCCCTTTTGGGCTCCACAGGTGTGGTAACTGTCGAGTGATTAGGGTTGTGGCATCCTGAGACGAACTGGAGTCTACTCACGTTCGTGAGCAGTTGCTGCAGCAGGTGCTGCAGCGCTGTTGCGCTTTGGTCGACCTCGGGGCATCGTGAGCGAAATTTGCGACCTGCAAAAATGATCCCACTGCTAGGTGTATTGGGACAACTGAGCTTAGTATTGAGAATCACAGCGGGGCTGGAAGGGCCAAGTGAGTCGAGTCTCACGTATGGGCTCAATGACGACGAAGAAGCGACAGGGGTATAAATGAGTTGGAATGTCGTCTTGAGCGCAGCTGAGGGATAGGCACAGCACAACTGCACGCTACCGTGATATGTGAGGCTCAAGAAGCTTTGATGTGAGAAGTGAAATCACCTACGCCAAAGCTGAAAACAAAGTAACGTCAAGGACTTGCGGAAGGCGCCTGAGCACTTTGACGGTGCGCGACTCGCACGGGATGGAAGGCTCGAGTCGACGAATCGCCACATTCACTCCCTTTTTCCGTAAGGTACCAGGGGCTAGACACAGTGTCTGCATAACGCTAAGACTTGATCTAGCGACGGCACGCGTGTGGATTGGAGGCACTTGGGAGGATCGCACTGTGCTTGCACATAGCACCCGCACTTTTACGCGCGAGTGCTGTGATCTATACAGTGCGGGATGTGCGTAGCACTCCGCAGGGGTCTGAAGTGAGTCACATGACGTCGCGGCAATATCGCGAACGTACAGTGCATGCACGGTACGCCCCCGACCTACTCAATCGCCACCGGAGAGAAAAGAAACGACTAGCGTCAGTAACTTATTCGCCCTTGGAAGTTGCGAAGGCCGCCGAGTATTGCTGAACACTCATAAAACGCGCAGCCCGAGCCTGCCCATTACTACCATCGTGACCTTGCCGGAGGGGCAGGCGCAAGACAGATACATCGCCAACAGATCTGCCACAATTTCACAACCTCGTGTCACCTTAGGTTGCCTCTATCCAGTCCCTCAACACCCTCATTGAGCAATGTATGCCTCAAGGACGTGATGCGGAAAGCGCAGTCAGATGCTTACATACGTACAGGGCGCGACCTCGACGGGATCAGAGCGCCAGCGGCAGCAATGGTAACGACGGACAGAACCAGACCATGAACGGCAACGACGGCACCAATGGTACTCGTAATTTACGTCAGACACGTAACATCACCGGGCCACAGTCTGCCCTAACAGATTTTCTGGCCGTACGTTTACGAGCGCCGATAGATTACCATTGCTGACCGTCTTAGTCTCACAACATCTCAGCTCGTCAAATCCGTGACGATGCTGACCGCAGACGACAAGCTGTCGCGCAACAAAATACAAGTGGGACGAGTGACACACTGAATGCGAACGACAATCCCACACCGGCACCTTTACCACCTGCCCGCGTCGCCCGTCGGCAGTCCACGCGAGACGAAGGCGAACAAGAAAGCCCTGAGAAATCGGCGCAAAAAGAGAAGGCTCTGGCTAAGATCAAAGCTTCCAAAGCTTTCAAGAAGCGCAAGAAGGATGCCGACGAGGATTCAGATTTTGATGATGACGAGATTGCTCGGGCCATCTTCAACGAGCGTCATGCGCCTCTACCGGGACAAATGGAAAACTGCGAAATATGCGACAAGAGATTCACGGTAACACCCTACTCCGTTCAGGGACCCAACGGCGGTCTTCTCTGCGCGCCCTGCGGACGACAAATAGCCAAGGAACGACAGGGCGAAAAGCCTAAGAAGAAGGCACCCCGACGACAGACGGCTGGTATTGGTTCTCGGAGAGCAGCCCAAAGCCGTCTCCTGGATGGCAGCGTGGGAACGCTGAGCCTCGCCACTCTATGTGTGCAGACTTTGGCCAAGAATGTGGAGTTGGCGGAAAGCTTGGGGGACCTGCCAGAACATTTGGTCGACAAAATCGCCCGCATTTTCTCAAAGCGGCGACTGCTGGGCCCTGATACCTTGCCCTTGTTCCTCCAACCCTCTACGCAAACGATACGTATCTACGATGGGGCAAAGCTCGGCGAGCAAGAGCTGATCAGCATCTTCCAGATCGCGCCTGGTCTGAAACACTTCAAAGCTAGATGCGTGGTACAGTTCAAAGATGAAGTCATGGACTACGTACTATCGCGAGACACGAAAATGGAAAGCTTCTACTTGCATGGAGCGAACCTCCTGAGTGAGGATAAACTACACGAGTTTCTCCGAGCTCAAGGGTCCTATCTCCAGAACTTACAAATTTACTATACCGACAAGCACGTTGGTGACGAGACCATCGAGTTTGTTCGGGAACATTGTCCGAACCTCAAGCGCCTGAAAATTGAGCATAATCAGAAGTTGACTGACAAGGGTGTGAAAGCTCTTGCTAATGTCACTTGCCTCGAGCACTTGGGCCTACAACTGGAGCACAGTCCAAGTTCTCCAGCCATCAGAAAAGCGGTCTCAGGTTCCGGACCTAATCTCAAGACGCTTTCGCTCAGCATCGTGCCTAATGCGGACGATAGTGTGCTGGATGCCATCCACACGACATGTCGCTCCCTCTCGAAATTACGCATAACTGAAAGCCACTTGATGACGGATGACGGATTTGCCGCACTCTTCACAGCATGGCAGAACCCGCCTCTCACGTTCATTGACCTAGAGAAGTGTCGCTATGTGAGCGCTATGCAGCCCAGGCAGAACGATGGTCTCGTGGGCCTCTGCAGCAATGGATTCAAGGCCCTCATGGCACATTCTGGCCCGAGACTGCGATATCTCAACGTCCATGCTTGCCGTAACATTTCTCGAGAAGCATTCGAAGAGGTGTTCAGTGGCGCGTCGTCATACCCCGAGATGCGACGTCTGAAGATCAGTTTCTGCGAAGAGGTCACTGATTATGTGCTGAGCTGCATTTTCCGTTCTTGCCCAAACATCAAAGAGGTCAACGTGTTTGGCTGCATGAAAGTGAGAGATGTCCGCGTGCCTCGAGGCATCATTCTGGTTGGTGTGCCGAATGCGCAGGGAATGATCACAGAAGGAAAGCACTAAGGTCCAAATCGGTCTTTGAGATGGCGAATGGTGCACTGGGCGAACACAACTTGCTGAACGAACAGCTTTCTTATAATATTAGCCGAACTATACCCTATTTCTGCTATGAAATCTACGGGTTTCCCCATCCGGACTTGTTACAGACCGTCTGGTTGTGAATATACAAGCACCTCAATGCGCGCCAGACAAATCGCGTATGACGTGAATCATTGTCAAGAAGACTACGGGTATAGTTCAACGTTCACGAGCAATACAGCCGAGCCACTTTCGTCAACACGCAGCAGCGGGAAAAGGAAACAACCCTGCACGAGTTGCTCGTTCCTCTCGCCACGACGAAGTCCGATCGGACCGCAAAGGTTGCATCCGGGGGGAAACCCCCATTGGGGTCGTGTGGGTGGAAGAATCACCCCGTTCCTCGATCAGGTGCAGCTCTCCGGCCTGCCTTGAATGCAAGCTTTCGACTTTGCGCAGCCACATTAATAATGAAAGGGCAATATCGCCGGTCGACCGGCCGCCCTAGGACAGCTGCGTCATTGTCCCCAAGGGCCTTCTGAGGAGCTCTCGCGAGTCGCTGGGCCGAGACGCGGACACGGCTGAAAAGTGGTGTTATGCAACAGCGTCTATCACAAGGCAGCCTTACAGCTTGCTCCGCTGGCGTCATCATGAGTATAATTGAGTCCTTGACCGAAATCTGCAATTCTGTATTTCGGGTGCCAGGCTTCCCCGCAACAGCATGGTCAAATACGCGACCAGGTCCAGGGCTGGGGTCATGGTAAATCGTTGCCTAGATCATAGATGGATGGCCTTGCCAGTCCCGCTTCCTCCAGGCATGCCGAGGCGTCGCCACAGTCTTCCATGAGGAAAATAGCCACGTGCACAAATCGGCTTATGTCCAATGGGTCATTGTTGACGGGATCTCAGGGGAGCTTTTTGCGCCGTCACGGCGCAGAGTTGCTGTGGGTAGTCAGTCCCGGCAGTTGCACCCTTTACAGCGCGATTTGGGTGATCGCAATTGCATCTGCGATGGGTCAGCTGCAAGGTTGTAATGTGTTGCGTGGGTATGCATAAAACGTGATCGATTCAGAAACATTCAAAAAGACGTGACAATCCAGCTCGCCGCCGAAGGCCTTTGCTTGTCTGCCATTGCCCCAGCTTCCAATCCACCATTATCACCATGGTACCCTCCCCTGTTATTGCAACAGCCTATGCTCTAATCAGCCTTCTGGCCGGGGTCAGTGGCAGTCCTCTGCAACAGAGATCTCCTGATGATGTCCCGGACGGCTACTATGTGCCCATGTACTACCCAGCGCCGTTCGGTGGCTGGGTCGACTCCTGGGCACAAAGCTACGAGAAGGCCAGAGACTTAGTAAATCAAATGACCCTAGCTGAAAAGACAAACATTACTGCCGGAACTGGCATCTTCATGGGTAAGTCAAGATTGCAGATAAGGGCTTCAACGCTGACTTTGTCCAGGGTGAGCTTCGTGGTCGGTCATCCATCAAAGTCGAAGAAGCTGACTTATATATTTAGACGCTGCAACGGCAACACTGGGTCGGCACTCCGCGTTGGTTTCCCTCAGCTATGTCTCAACGATGCGGCCAATGGTATCCGTCAAGCGGACAATGTCACCACGTTCCCTGACGGCATCACGGTAGGTGCCACGTTCGACAAGGAGCTCATGTACCAGAGGGGTGCCGCGATTGGCAAAGAGGCCAGGGGTAAGGGAGTTCATATCTGGCTGGGGCCCTCAGTCGGCCCCTTGGGTCGTAAACCCAAGGGTGGTCGTAACTGGGAGGGCTTCGGTGCGGACCCTGTTCTTCAGGGTGTTGGTGGCCGCGAGACCATCAGGGGTGTACAGGAGCAGGGTGTGACCGCCACGGTGAAGCATCTGATCGGCAACGAGCAAGAGATGTATCGTATGTATAATCCATTTCAGTATGGGTATAGTGCGAACATTGACGACCGCACGCTGCATGAGCTATATCTTTGGCCGTTTGCCGAGGCTGTCCGGGTTGGTGTGGGCGCCGTGATGACCTCGTACAACGCGGTAAGTTAAGTGAAAAGACAATACACATCTCGTACGCTGACACGAACAGGTCAACGGATCTGCTGGCAGCCAGCAACCATACCTCATCAACGGTCTTTTGAAAGATGAGCTCGGCTTCCAAGGTCTTGTCATGTCCGACTGGATCTCCCACATGTCTGGCGTTGATTCAGCCCTCGCAGGTCTCGATCTAGACATGCCTGGCGACACTCAGGTTCCGCTCTTTGGGTCCTCCTTCTGGATGTACGAGATGACCCGCGCTGTTCTCAATGGCACTGTGCCCATGGAGCGCCTGAACGATATGGCAACCCGGGTCGTTGCAACTTGGTATCAGATGGGGCAAGACAGCGATGATTTCCCCAAGACAAACTTCCACACTCTGAGCAACGACGCTGTTGGGGATCTTTACCCCGCTGCGTGGCCTGCATCGCCAAAGGGTGTGATCAACGAGTTTGTGCAGGTTGCAGACGACCACCATCTAGTCGCCCGTCAAATCGCCCAGGAAGCCATCACCATGCTCAAAAATGAGGACAACCTTCTGCCCCTACCCGAGTCCCGCCCTCTCAAGGTTTTTGGCACAGCCGCACAGACCAATCCAGATGGACCAAACGCCTGTCCGGATAGGAACTGCAATAAGGGCTTCCTCGGTCAGGGTTGGGGCTCTGGAACCACCGACTACATGTATATAGATGATCCCCTTGGTGCATTGGAGGATCGAGCCGCCGACGTGACCTTCTACAATACCGACTCCTTTCCGGAGGTTGACGAGCCGACAAAGGACGATGTTGCCATTGTCTTTATCACTTCAGATGCCGGCGAGAACAGCTACACTGTGGAGGGAAACCATGGCGATCGCGATGCAAGTCGTCTCTTCGCGTGGCACAATGGTGACAAACTCGTCCAAGATGCCGCCGAAAGGTACGAGAACGTCATCGTCATTGCTCAGACCGTAGGGCCTCTCGAGCTGGAGGCCTGGATCGATCTACCATCTGTCAAGTCTGTTCTCATCCAGCACATGGCCGGTCAGGAAGGAGGTATTTCGCTGACAAATGTCCTCTTTGGCGACGCGTCCCCCTGTGGACACCTCCCGTACTCTATCACATACAGCGAGGACGACATGCCAGAGAGCGTGACCAAGTTGATCGACAGCGCCTTTCTGAACCAGCCGCAGGACACCTACTCCGAGGGCTTGTACATCGACTACCGTTGGCTGAATGGGCAGCAGATTAAGCCCAGGTATGCGTTTGGCCATGGGCTGAGTTACACATCTTTCTCCTATGGCAACGCGACCATTGAGAAGGTGACTCAACTTGAGACCATGCCGCCGAGTCGCCCGGAGAAGGGTCCGATACTGGAGTACGCCCAGTCCATCCCAGAGTTGAGCGAGGCGGTCGCGCCCGCAGGCTTCAACAAGATCCCTCGGTACATCTACTCTTGGCTCACCAAGACGGAAGCCGAGAACGCCAGCAAAGATTCGGAGAACGAGTACAAGCACTATCCGGAGGAATACACCTCCACCCAAAAAGGAGAGGGTCCCCGAGCTGGAGGTGCGCAAGGAGGTAATCCAGCGCTGTTCGACACTGCGTATACCGTCTCCGTGACAGTCACAAACGCTGGTGAGGAGTACGCCGGCAAGGCTTCGGTGCAGCTCTACCTGCAATATCCCGAGGGCATCGAGTACGATACCCCTCCTATCCAGCTTCGTGATTTCGAGAAGACGGGCACCTTGGAAGTCGGCGAAAGTGAGACTGTCGAATTGACCCTCACGAGAAAGGATGTCAGTGTGTGGGACATTGAGATGCAGGATTGGGTCGTTCCAGAGGTCGATGGAGCGTACAAAATCTGGATCGGGGCCGCAAGCGATGACCTTGGCGTTGTTTGCCGCGTGGACGGGCTCGAGTGCGAGAATGGCGTGGCAGGGCCGGTGCAGTAATGTTGTTCATATACAGGTCCATTGAAGAGCGCGTGGTCTCTCCCTCTATCGTCCGTAGCTTATGCAATATCGTACACATACTGCCTACCCCGTATCTCCCTAGGGGTCATTACCCCTGAGCGATTTCTTTCCTGCCTTTCATCTTCCTCCTCAGTAGAATTCGCCTCCCAGTCTTGCTTCTCAACCTCTTCAAGAATCCGAACCGCCTCTTCTGTACGAGTCGCGTGTGGTTGTGCATAGTGTTGCGTGGACCACAGCGAATGATCCCTAACGCAGGGTGGGAAGTAATTGCTGACTTGGGGACGAGATCGACTTCTGCGGCGACCGAGGGTGTGAACGATGGCGCGGTAGTTCGGGGGACAGCAATTGTTGGTCGGCGCGAGATGAGGGTTGTGAAGGTCCTAGTGTCGTTAGCCGTCGGCCTCTCACGGAGTAGAAGAGAGACGCACCGTGGTCTGGCGACGCTTGTGCGCGCTACGCGCGGTAAGCTGCGCAGAACATTCATCGTGGTGTTGTGGTTATTCGGTCGCGTGTCCTGGATTAGAGCAGCGTTTGCATTTGTCCGCATGGCAGTTTGAGCAGTTCAAGAAATTTGGATCAGTCAGCAATTGATTGGCCCATACGAAATTGCAGGTCTCGTGTCTTGAGTACCCTGCACCTTCTCTCATCCCCATCCGAACATCTAATTGACCTAGTCGCATGTACATTCAGAAAGGGCATATCAACATATATCAAACAGTTGATTGGGTAGTATTGCTCATATTTACTTCTCAATGCTTATTGTACTTGTCTGCAGGGCTATGCTGAAGTCCATCCCCAACATTCAAGCATTTCAAATTGGCAGCGCATGGCAAAAACCCAAGCTTGCGGTTCAAACTGAATTACAAATGTATAAAAACAAATCAATCCATGAATTTGAGCTGATCCCTCAAACCGCCATAAGGGATCTGGATCCAATCCGCCAGCGCGTTGTCCCACCATGGCTGCTTCTGCAATTCATCCAGCGGCATGACCATCTTGTACTCTCCAAAGTAGTTCTTCTGGCCCTCCTGTCGGAAGCCCAATCGTTCGAAAAGCTTGCGACTGGCCACGTTGCCCTCCTTGATCTTGACAAAGAACGCCTTGAGGCTCGCGCCCGAGACACCGTCGGCCTGTTTGCTCATCACGTACTCCTCCAGGATGAAGCCCATCTGCACCTGGACGTACACCAACAGAGCCATCACAGCGGCCTTTCCCATCCCCTGGTTGCGAAACTCAGGGTCTGCGATCATAACGTCGATCTCGCCCACGAGCCAGCCCTCCTGGCCACCTTCCGCATCCCACGGGTGCAGGAAGAAGTTGACATCGCCAGTCATACGTGACATGCTATCCAAATCCAGCGTGTTTATTCTGATGAAGGGAATGTCGCCACGCCCGTCAAGAGACCGGTCAATGGGCTGGCAGACGATGAACGTCAGCTTGTCGGCCGAGTTGCGCCAGGAGCGCTGGTTATTGTACTCTTCTTCGAGAGACAGTGGCTCTGACGCCGTGGCTGCTTGAAGGGCCTTGTGCCTGTCAATACATGATCTGCCAGCGCAGTGTGTGTGTGTTCACGTACCGGGTCGGTCATCCAAGAGTGGTACTTGCTCACATGATGTCCCTCGTAGGGCACGAGGAGCACCCTGCTACTGGCAACAGCTGATTTGTTAGCGAAGGGATTGTCTGAGTCGGTATCACGTACCTGTCTTCGAGTTCAACTTCATGGTTGTGAATCTTGCAACAACGACTTGTGGTGTGTGAGACTGGAGTTGGAACTGAGTTGAGGCTGTGAGCCTATATAGAGGGGCACATACTCAGCGCGGCGCCGATGATGGCGAGTCGGTGGTGGGGTACCAAGTCTTGGCTCAATGCTGTTCAATACAATTACCTGCCTATCTAAAACGAGAGCTTGCACCAGAACTCCCTCATTCCTGTTGAAACCATCCAAATGCTTTCAAAATATAGCCGCGGCACTTGTCCATCAATATTATACACTGGTAACCACACACACACACCGCTGCTGCCACCAGACAGCATTCACGAAGTCGAAATGTCCCATGCCTTCTTTGGCCGAACCACGCCAGGAACCGCTACGACTTTTTCGCAAAATGCTTAAGTGTGGCATCTCGAGAGTTAGACCGTGACTTCTTGGCCTCCGTCCCTGCGATAGGCGGGAAGATTGTGTCGTACTGGTCAGGCCTGCGTAAGGCCTGTATCTCAGCTTGTGTAAGTCCATAATTTCTTTCAAGGCCCGGTCTAGCCCATTCCAGGGTGCGGTGCTCAAGTGGCACTTTGAGCTCGTCGAGGATGTGAGCAACCTTGGATGGCATGATGGGCTGCAGCAGAATGCAAGCGATTCGAAGCGCTTCGCAAGCCTTGAAGATGACCCAATTCAGCGTGACAGCCGCGTTCTCGTCTCCGCCCATAGATCTTTTCGAGATGTGCCACGGCTCAGTGTCACTCAGGAAGCGATTCAACTGTGGTGGAAATATTAGTTGGAATCTCTTGTAGCGCTAGGGGGGGCGTCAAACCTCTGTGAGCAGGTCAGTGACCACTCGGATAGCAGACGGAATGTCATGCTTGTCCATGAACTCTGCAAAGTCCAGCGAAACCTGACTGAGGGTCTCGTCGAGAGCTGTAAAATGTAGTTCCGGTCTCGCACTGTAGTTGAGGTCACGGTGCGCCGTGAAGACGCCATCGCAATAGGCATCCACCGCGCTCCTCGTAGACCACGCAGTCTTTCCTTTAGGGCGTGCCACACGATAGTAGGCGTTGCCCAAGTTCGCCTGGAGTTCCTTTGTGTATACAGCGTGCACGAGATCGTTGGAGTAGTCAGTGTCGCGGTGCAAAGAACCGTTCCGCATGAGAAAGTAGCGCAAGGGATCATCACCCCAGCGCTGAACGGCATCGAAAGGATCCACAACATTGCCTATGGATTTGGACATTTTCCGCCCGGACATTGTCCAGTGATTGTGACAGAGGATCTTCTTCGGCATGGGGAGCCCAAGCGCCAAGAGCATCGCAGGCCAGTAAACGGCGTGGAAGCGGATGATATCCTTGCCGACAACGTGCACATCCGATGGCCACATCCCTTTGTCAGCGGCGTCCGGCGAGTCCCAACTCTCTCCGTACCCAGTGATTGTCAAGTAGTTCACCAAAGCATCAACCCAGACGTATATTGTCTGGCTTGGGTCATCCGGGTCTTGTATACCCCAGTTCAAGCGTTGGTAGGGCCTCGTCACCGACAAATCTTCCAGGTTGTTCTCGACCCAATCGCGCACTTCGCTCATCTTGCTCGCTGGCTCGATCCAGGTAGGGTTCTTGTCGAAAAACTCCAGCAAAATGTCCCGGTACTTGGTCAAAGGAAAGAACCAGGTCTCTTCATCTACCCACTCGACCTTACTACCGGTCTCGGCGCTGACCACGATCTTCTGCCCTGTTTGTGGGACGATGATGGAGTCCACCAGCTTTTCGGGGTAGAAGCACTCGTCTTCGACGCTGTACCAGCCTGAATGTTTTCCTTTGTATAGACCAAGGTGTGGGGGAATATCTGATTTCATCTTGCGCCAAAATGTTTCGACAGCCGCGTAGTGCTTAGCCTCCGTGGTGCGTATGAAGACGTCGTCACTGATCCCGCCGCTGGCCGCCAGCCTCTTGAACTCCGCCGCGTTCTGATCACAGAGCTGTTTCGGTTCGATCTCGTGACGGAGCGCCGCTTGCTGAATCTTCATGCCGTGTTCGTCCGTCCCGGTGCTGAGAAAGGCCTCCGACCCCTTGAGCTGATGCCATCGCTTGAGCACGTCGGCGAGGATCATGGTATAAAGATGGCCGATATGGGGAGCTATGAGGCGTCAATATTGTCAGATTGCATCAAAAGGGCATCGGTACCTCCATTGACGTAGAAGATCGGTGTCGTTACATAGTAGGGTTTTGAGGCCGAAGAGTAGTCAAGCTTGGATGCTTCCCGCGCAGCAGTCGCGTAGCAACATCGTGAGGGCCATCTGGGCTGAGGTCGGCTGCGCAAGACCCCGAGAACTGAACGGCTTGCGCGCGGCCTATGAAGAGAGCGCGAGCCATAAGACAACATGGTGCTCGATGCTCAATCCTGGAAAGGCAGTGTAGGCCGGATCACAGTGCTTGTCGCGAGTAGCTTGAAATTGTTACCGGATACCGTGTGGCTTGCGCACAGTGCCAATTTCGTCCAGTCTCTTACCTTCCAAGGTAAAGCAATCATATACCAACCAATGATACATATATGACAATCTAACCATGAACTGAGGCCATGTTTAAGCTGCGAGGGTTGGTAGATTGAGATTTCCCTCTGCAAGACTGACAGTTCATGGAGGGAGGCACTCTACTTAGAATGGTGTACAGTGCGCGACAAGCATCCGATAACTGTGCAAATCGTCATAGGCAATTAGTTGCCTTTGCTAAAAGAATTAATTATCACAGTCACCGCGACGCGTCAAGCTGAACCTTTGAATCCTCCCGAGGATACGTACTTCTTCCAACGCAGTCCAGCGACCACGCTCGATCCCCGCTTGTTCATAGCTCTGCCTACTGGTAGCGGCCCTCGCCAAACTTGAGCATCAACAACATCCGGGGCCAAGATGGCGCCGCCAGATCATGACACTCAGATCAAGGTGTCCAGCGACGGTACGACATTTCAGAATGCTCAGAATGCAAGCGATTTATGCTGACCACAACGACAGCCGCAGAGACCTTTGTCAACCGCTACTACGATGCAATCAGCCGCAGGGCGCCCATCCTTCCCTTCTACGTTAACTCCACGACCCGCTACACCAAAACAGCCGACATCTCTATCAATGGCGCCGTAGTTCCGACACCGGCAGATTACTTTAATCAACTGGCAGAGCAGTCTAACGGACACCCTGTCACCTACGAAGTCGAATCTTTCGATGCACACGTCACCAACCCATCATTCACGTACGAAATGCCCGACAATTTCCCCATCAAGGAGAAAGCAGAGAGCAAAGGCGAGATGATGAGCATTTCGGTATCGGTCATGGGTCGGGTGCAATATGGGAAAGGCAGAGAGGCGCCGAAAAGGATGTTCAACGAGTCGTTTGTGCTCTGGCCGAACTGGGAAGCGATGCAAAAGAACCCACCAAAGGGCATCAAGCAGTGGCTGATCGCATCACAAAACTACAGGGCACTATAGAAAGGACAAATTGGCGTACGGGAACCAGAAAGAATACAATGATACCCCCTGGGAAGGCAGATGTTTGTCTAGCCATTGGCGGCGTCGGAAGCTTGTGATGGTCCACCATTTGGTCCTATGAATGGCTGAGGCCTTGGACGTCATGTTTGCAAATATCTAATACAGCAACTGATGCAACGTAATACACGTAAAGATAGAAGAGCGCAGGACGGGAAGGGATATATAAATAGCTAGGTCCCTACGAGACGGCGCAAACCGCTTCATTCTAGGTCTAGGGCGAGCCAAGCGCAGATATTCCTTCCACATAGAGCCTTGTCTATCGAAGCACCATACGACAGCACATTGGCTGGTATCAGCTTCGGCCCATACGACTTTGAAGCCGCATATATTGGCGGGCAATGTCAGGGCGAAGCATCTGCGTCTATTGTGCCGTCGCGAACAATATCAAGGTGGGGCAGACAACAATCCAGCAGACGACATCTTGAAGCTGTACCGTGCCTCCAACCCCGCCAACCCTTTCGGAGCCATGTACCATGCCGCCGAAAAAGGTCCCCCAGAAGACCGGAAAGCTCGATCCAGTCTGGGCCAAGCCTGAGGATCTCAAGAGTATAACACATTGCCTTTCACCGACCATGTCGCCCGAGCCCGCTGACCATCTGCAGAGCCCGAAACTGTCAGCGAGCGAACCCAGCGACGCGTCAACCTCTCGACGCCGTACCATGGCAAGGATCTCAATGACCTGACGCCCGAGGAATTAAAGATATACTCGCACACGAATCTCATCAAACCCATAAGCGAGGGAAAGATCAGCCTATCCGTCAAAGCTGAGCGCGAGTTCTGGAAGTTTGTCAACAAAGAAAAGCTGCCCATCCGCCACGTACGAGACAACTACGACTGGGGTAAAGACAAGAACGGCAAAGACATTGCATCATATACCATCGAGGAGCTTAACCAGCGCAAGATCAAGCAAGCACGATACCGCGCGCTGTCTCTTTTCTCGAGACAGTTCGTTCATCTAAGGGACCAGGCGAAGAGACAGGAGACCGAGTTGGCCGAAATCGAAATTGAGGAAGAGCGTAAAAGAAGGAGAGAGATGGCGGCCTTGAAGAAAGAATTGTACGGGGAGCTCACGGCAAAGCTGGTGCAGGATCCGGTCTACGATGATATTATCCCGATTCCCATGGAGGAGCCCGAGAGCGCTCTGGCTCGGATCGCTTATCCAGACTTTTATGCTGAAGGTAGGCACAAGCCGTTGACCCTGCGCTCGCTTCCTACTAATGATCGCAGCTATCTCCTACCTGCGCGCCGTCATGGCGGGCGAGGAATATACCCCACGGTGTCTTCGCATCACCGAGCACGTTATATCTATGAATCCAGCGCACTATACGGTATGGCTCTACAGGTTCAAGATCATTCAGGTCCTGGACCTGCCTGTCCCCAACGAGATTGAGTGGCTCAACGAGGTTGCCTTGAACAACCTCAAGAACTACCAAATCTGGCACCATCGCCAGCTTTTGCTCGACTATTACTACCCAAAGATCGCCGACGATGACGAGGCAGTGAGGAAGCTTGCCAAGAGTGAGATCGACTTTGTAAACCAGATTCTGGCGGAGGACACCAAAAACTACCACGTGTGGTCATACAGGCAAGACATTGTAGCCAAGCTTGGTATTTGGACAGTGGCGGAGCTCGGTTCTACTCAGAACATGATTGAGGATGATGTGCGAAACAACTCAGCCTGGTCGCATCGGTTCTACCTCGTCTTTTCCGACCCCGGTCAGTCAACAAAAGATGCGTTGCCGACGGAGCACGACCCCAAAGTCCCGGCAATCATCATTGAGAGGGAGCTCAAGTATACACGAGACAAGATCCTGCTGTCCCCTCAGAACCAGTCCTCGTGGAACTATCTCAGAGGCGTGCTCCGCAAAGCGGGCAGAGGTATGAGCACGGAGGAGGGCTTTGCTTCTCAATTCGCGGAATGTTCAGGCGAAGGGGGAGAAAAGGTCACGAGCTCCCACGCACTTGAAATGTTGGCTGATGCATCTGTGGAAACGGGCAACGTCGAGAAGGCGACACTATGCTTCACGAGACTGGCCAAGACATGGGATCCTATCAGAGAGGGGTATTGGCAATACCGCATTAGCCAGCTCAAAGAACAATAGAAACTTATCCGGCATGAATGGAAGCTGCAGCCACAGTGCGCTTAGTATGCAACGTGGACAGTACTCAGCGCTTTGTTGCTGGGGCTTTGCTTGCGCGGGTGCAGCTGATGAACCAGGCACTTGGGTCGCATAGGCGGTCTTCATGACAGCCTGCAAGGACGCCAACCCCAATCTTCTCAGCACCTGGCCACACCCACAGCCGCACTAGAGGAAGCATATTTCAACCTTTTGATTCGCGTCTCTTCTACCGTCCTTAGTCACGTTTTGCGAATCAAGTAACAACCTACTGATTGGCGTAGTGCTCGTACGAACGATCGTATGGTGGGTTGAGGTGTATTCACGCATGTGCGTCATCCGCCTGCGCGCCGCTGACTCAACAGATGCAGATGGCGACTGCAAGCCAAGCGTCTGCGTCTCTCTGACTTTATGTTTCTACCCAACACCAGCATCGCCAACCGTGATGGTTGCTTTGATGCAGTACAGGTGCGTGCAACTGCAACAATGAGGGGTCGTGATGGCTGCCTGGTCAGCCTAAAAGCCAGGACTCAGGACAGACCGAACCAGAACACTGGGCCAGGCGAGTGGAGCCGGAATGGGCGCTTGCGAAATGCGCTGGCATGCAAGCAAACACCACCACGATGAGCCGGTTTGACCGCTTCTTGGGGACGTTGCTGCAGACCCCAGTGGAGGTCGGTTCAGCCAGCCAGACGAAACGAGCGGGCAAGCCAGTCGGCACGCGTTTGCGTCCCAGCTGCTCCAGCTGGATGGAACCAACCCAGACTACGTACCTGTATACTCTGCCTGCCGTATCGGCACCTCCCATACACGAACCGACGACCGGATTCCCGGGTCGCCGCAGGTGCATGTCCAGTCTGTTTTGTTAACCCAAGCACCGGATAGTCTCGATCACAACCAAGCACTTGCGAGCTCTCATGTCGTGGTGGTTCTCCTATTTTCATGCCCCCCTCCCGTGGTCTCGATCTTGCGTCTACCGTCCACATCAGCCGGGCTGGTTGGTGACTTCTTTACCTGCAGAGAATCTGCATCGGGCCACCCCGTCCACACAGATCTAGCAGATCGGGCCCGACAAAGTTGAAGCCGACGGGGAAGCAAGTCGCAGGATTGTACTAAAACGGGGCACTTTTACGCCCTCACTACTGCCCCCTCGCGCGCCCAGGGCCTTTTGTTCTCTTCTCTCTCGCGTTCGTCTCACTCCTCGTCCCTGATCCTGGCCATTCCTGCAGCGCATCGTCCGTGAGAGACGCTCTCATTTGTTGGTGACGGATCCCACTGCACAAACAACTCATCGAACATCGACCGGCGTGCGCACTGTGCGGTGCGCACCCTCATCAAGAGCCTCGCTCTGACCAGCAAACGCCCACGACGGTGGTAAATTCACGCGCTGCTACCAAGATACGTTGCACTAGCGCTGCTCCAGAGAATCGAAAAAGAAGGCACAATAGCAGCTGAACAAACCGGGCAGTCATACTCTGCCTCAATAGCATTGTTATCAACTCACGGACCTTCTCTTGTTCAGTGACAAACGCCAGCTCGAGCTCCAAGTCAGCGGATAAAAGCGCCTGAGCCTAACGCCACTTATATCAGAGACGCATCACCTTTGTTCGACAAACCTTACTGAGATAGAGGCTGCCGTGGAAATCGACTACAAGCTTAGTAGCGGCGCCAGATCTGTCCCATTTCCGGATCCGGCGAGCTAGGGACGTCGGGGAACTCCCATGCTTTTACGTGCGTCCTCACTCCTAACAAACAGCGGCGACAAGTTGCAGGCTTCGAAACGGCATCCCGAATTTGGTGGTGCTGCCTTGGGTTCGTCAAAATGGGAGGTTCGACACCGTTGGAGGAAGACGGTGCAAGAGTAGCGCCTCTGAGTATCAACCCCAAACCCGCAGAGAATCACAACACGGCAGTATCAGATCCATCGACAATTGGAACAGCTGCCAAGCAAGGAAATCAAAATTTGCCAGTCGCAATTCCAGAGGTCAGTCTTTGTCGGTCGTTTGGTGATTCGATGTTAAACGTGGCCAGGCTTCCGGAAGGCGTCCTTCAGGGGACAGCAACTCCGATAAAGATTCATTAGGGGTGAGGTCCCTGCTACGCTCGCAATGGGACACAGCTGAACGGGATCAGGAAAAGCACCTTAGAGAGACGCAAGAGTTGACAGCCGATGTGATGAAGTATCGGGTCGAGAACGGGCGAACCTACCATGGTTTCAAGGAGCATCGTAGGTTGTCTGGCATCACTTTGTGTAAACGCGTGGCTTACAAAGGGCGCAGTGCGTTATGTACTACCCAACGACGAGGTGAGTCGGTTGCTGCTCCATGAGTTCACGAATGGCACATGCTGATCACCATTGTCTCGCAGTCTGAAAAAAGGCGACTAGGTATGTTGTTCCTCGCGGAGCCGGGTGGAGCTACCTTTCTGACAGATCAGACGTGCAACATTACCTCACATATTTAACGTTGGAGGGTAGACTGTATCTCTGCCCAGCCGGGAGAGACCGGCCTATACGGACGTGCTTAGACGCCGGCACAGGGACAGGTTCCTGGGCGCTCGAGTTCGGTGAGTTTTTCCTGCGCATGCACTTTGGCCCCGGACGTTGCTGACTCTGTCCAAGCCCAAGAACATCCCGATACAGAAGTAGACAAACTCAGAGGTGACTTGGAGACCACCGATGCTGACATCACACAGGTCATTGGCATTGACATCTCGCCCATACAGCCCGAATATGTGCCCCCCAATGTCTGCTTCCAGATCGACGACGTGGAGGATGACTGGAATTACGACGAGCCCTTCGACTTCATCTTCTGTCGCATGCTCACGGGCGCCATAGCAGATTGGCCTCGGTTCTTCAACCAGTCCTTTGCCAATCTTGAGCCGGGCGGCTGGTGCGAGGTCCAGGACATTGTCGCCCCCGTACAGTGCTCGGACGGCACACTGGATCCAGATTCGGCGTTTGCGACATGGAGCCGCGACCTTTTGCGGGCGACACATCTTGCTGGTCGGGGTATAGATGGGGCAAAGTTGTACAAACGCCAGATGGAAGAGGCCGGCTTTATCAACGTGAAGGAGGAAATTTTCATCTGGCCCCAGTGCCCCTGGGCGGACGATGACTACTACCGAATGCTAGGTCGGTGGACGGATGTCGCCATCACGGGAGGGCTCGAGGCGCTCAGCACGGCCTTGTTCACCAGACACCTTGGATGGAAGAAGGCTGAGCTAGATGTGTACCTGACGCAGGTCCGCAAGCAGATGAGAGACAGGGGAATCCATGCGTACTGGCCAATGTGGGTAACATGAACCCCTTCGATAACACACAAAGTTGCTAATACGAGAGGCAGTTACATGGTCTACGGGCAGAAGCCCGAGTAGGAGGCATGCCTATGAGTGACTGAGAATAATGAGCAACGACCGGCATGGCAAAGGCGTCTCACGAAACTAGAGGGTTGGATGGCATATGGCAGTTGCATTTGCATACCACATATATATTAAAACACAGACGATTCATTCATAGTGCTACAAGCTAGACGTTTTGTGTGATTATCTACATTAGCACCGTAAGGTTATTCTCTACCAGTGAGCATTGGAAACATCGCCCACACGATTCCTACCGAGTTCTTCGTTTCCCGTTTCGTCTCCCATTGCCTAATGCATGTTTCATCGACTCTCGACTCTCCAGAACTTCCAACCTTCCCGCTCACCACTCGAGCCATGGACGCCCACCAAACGCTCAACGCCCTCCGTTCCCTCAGCATTGAGGAACTTGTCCAGATCAATCTCCATGCCGCCCTCGTCATCCTCGTCCATGCCGTTTTTCAGGACAGCAGGCCACAGGACACCTACACCGTCGCCACCCAGCGTCGTCTCAAATTGTTCGTAGCCCTCTTCGTCTAGCTGCGCCTCGAGCTTTGCCATCTTCTCGGGGGCGATGTCTGGTTTGAGCAGAGTGATGGAGCAGCCGCCGCCACCCGCGCCCGTGAGTTTCGTCCACCCGATGCCCTCATGGTCGACCAATTCTCTGATGCGCTCCAGCCGTGGATGCGACACGCCAAGAGCGCTCAGCAGGCCGTGGTTGATCGAGAACAGCTCGCCCACCTTTTGCAAGCAGGTGTCGTCCTCCTCGTCAAACTCGTCATCCTCCAAAAGCTCGGCAGCTTCGCGTGTAATGCGGTCCATGGCGTCAAAGATGCTACCCACAAGCTTGGGGTGGCGCGCCTTGAGGCTGGCGACCTTCTGGACCTCGTGGTTTGTCGACTTTGCCTGCTTCGTGTCCACCAGCAGGAGAGGCAGTTCTGGAAAGTCCCACAGGGGCTGAACGGCGGGGGCAGCCGCCAGCGTGCGCTGGAAGAGGACCGCCTTGCCCTGTGTCGAGACCGTGTTGTCGAGGCCGGAGGGGTTGCCGTGGATGCACATTTCGGACACAAATGCCCACCTATTGATGCGCTCGACCTGTAACCTGGCCTCGTCATGAGGCTGTTCTGGATGGGGACCGGCGAGGGTTCGCAGCTGGAGTAGGAGGGCCGCAGAAATGCAGACTGATATCGAAGCACTGCTCCCCAGACCCGCGCCGATGGGGATTGTCGAGCGCAAGGTGTACAGGCATCCCGGGAACGATCGCGAACCGAGCGATAAGAAGAGGTATAAGAATGCGGACGCGGAGCTACGGTGGATTTTGCGGATTTCTTCTGATCGGTCCGGCGAGACAACATCTATGTGTGGTTGAAGCGCATCCACGAGGTCGGGGTCTAATTCCGTCACCAGCGAGTAGTACGCCTGTTTCTTGTCGGGGTGGTGGAAAGCATCCCACGGCAACTCGTCGATGCTCCAGGTGTGTACAAGGTCGATATCGGGGAATCGCAGAGAGATTGTTCGCTTGGACTTTGAGAGGGTCGTAACGTGGAGATAGGAGCGTAGGGAGATCGCTGCAGCAATCGCAGCCTTTGTCCCAGGTTAGCCGAGCCCTCGTCTCGAGGTCGCGCAACTCGCCTTGCCATGCACCACGGAGTGCTCTCCCCAGACTATGACCTTGCCGGGTGCGGAGACCATGAAGGCTGGTGCCATTGGACTGGACTGCTTGCGCTCCATCTTGATGCGATGCGATAGGGAGGGGCCGTCGCCATTGAGGCTCGCGTTACCGTTCGTGGTAGCCGTCATATCGACGGGGGCGCCCATGAGCAAGTCGCGCAAAAGAACGACGAGAAGAAGGTACGTCGGTCCTGTGTTTTTGGGGCGGCGTAAGAAGGGGCTGTGGTTCGCTGATCTCGAGATTTGGGTAAAGGGGAAATCAAATCCCGAGGTGGGAATGCCGCTACTGACTTGCGGGTCGCGCGACTCGAACTCTGAATGATCCGGGAAAAGTCTCCGCGTGGGGAAAAGGGAGAGCAGAATGAACGAGAAGGTAACGAAGCGAATGAAACATGAGTCGGAGCGGTTCGAAACACTGTGATATCACAGCCTCATTGCGTCGTACGATGTTGCGTGGAGGGACATGGAGCCTTCCTTGGGTGTAATTTCAGACCAAGACCAGATGACGGGACGGCTTACAGATTGGGATCGTGTGGGGTAAGAAAAACGCCGACACTAGACGTGCCAATATGCGCCTTTTGCCTTCGGCGTGTTTTTGACCGGACAGCTGGATTCCATGGCCTCCCTTGGGACCTATTTGGTCGTACACTGTATGGCATGCACACCAGACGATGTGGTGCGAGCATTGTTGTCCATCAGGCTCGGGTCGGCCTTGAAGAGCTTTTACGTGACAAAGCACAGTGTCGGTCGCTCGTGGGATGGGTGCCACCTGCCAACCTCGATGATCAAACTACTACCACGGGGTGCATGCGCCCTGCATGGCGCCCAGGATTGTCGTCAGGCTATGCCTGAAGCGGTACGGCGATGAGGCTAGGAACTGGATTAGGTTGTGTCCAGTGAAGCTGGGAAGAAAGAAGAATGAACAGGTACATGTAGTAAGTAGTCCGCCCTGCTTTAGTCCTTGTGTAATGATGCTGAAACCGTTTCAGTCAATTGTAGCACAAGCTCAAGCGAGGACAGTAAACACTGTCTCGTCAGCTGCATGCTGTATGCCAAACGCCCGTGGATTATTGCCTAAAAGTTTAAGGTACTGCGGCTCAAGGTAGTGTAGCTCCAATCCTCGTTCATCGAGGCAGATGACGCGTAGCTCTTCGCAGCCTTGGTTTTTGGATGGCCGTATAATGAATGTATTCTTGGGCAGTGGCTGGGCCCGTCTCTCGCAGTCAAAGTATCTTTAACATTCACCACCCCCTCACTCTCGGCGGCACATTGTACTCGCACACTACCAAGCCTCCATCGATATGACTGTCACTGAATTCGCGCTACTCAAGCTGAGCGACGCGCACGAGCCTCTAGAGCTGTACGAGCTGCTCATGGAATGCTTCGAAATCCAAGATACCTGGGTTCGTAAACACCAGCCTGAATTGCTCGATCCACCGAGCGAGGCAAACCTCAGCAGCGTCTACGTTGACAGGTCCACCACACCACACACGTTGCTCATCACGGCACAATGGAGCTCGCCAGAGGCACATCACCAGTGGATTGCTAGTGACGAGAATCAGATGGGATTTGCGGCAATGAAGAAGTTTCTGGCAGAAGGCGAGGACAGCATGGTGCTATTCCACATGGCACCCGCCGGTTTGCGCCAAAAGGGTGCGCCGCCAAAGTTTACGAGACCAGGGAAATTTGAGGTTGAGAGAATCTCCATCCAGGCAGACGAGAGACCCGCTGTGCAAGAAAACTATCGGAAGTTCGAAGGGACACTGCTGGATCTTAAGATTGGGGACTCGATATGGGCGGGGTGGCGCCTTGAAAATGAATCCCCCGAGGTTGACGAGCTCGTGGTCTTCTACTCCCAGTCCCAGTCACCCCTTGGGCGCACAGTCGAGAAGCTGGACGTTTCTCACAAGAAGCAGGTCCTGGTATTTGAGCATATCATCGGCTGAGTGGATGCACAGATCGCGCGCGCTGACAAAATTCCGTATTTGGTGGTTTGTGAGGTGGACTTTTATTTCGAGTCGTGGCCTAATGCAAAGGGTACCCCGAGACGCCCATTCATCATGATATCCGTTCCCGCCGCCATCGTGGTTCGTTTAGTTCTTCTTGGACACCTCCGCAATCGACAGGTCTGTAGCCTATTAGCATCGCATGGCCACCTGCGCAAAGAAAACGGGACGCACTGGGAGGGAGGCTCTGCTTGAGCTTCTCGGCCTTCTCGGCGTCCTTGAGCACCAGGGTGTACAGGTGCTTCTGGCAGCGAACCTTGAACTTGACGTTGCCGACCTTCTTGTTCTTCTTGATGCGCGCGGCTGTTGTACCGTTAGTCCCTATTTCCCAGGTGCACCGGTGTCTGTGTATCAGGTCGTGTGAACGTACAGGAGGCGTCCTTCCGACGGCAGATCTCGATGAACTATGATACGTTAATTATCTGTTGTATACAGGCTAAGCACAACAAGCGTCTTTGTTTACCTTCTTGATATCAGCGACCTCACGAGGCATTTTGGCGGTAATTGGGTTGGTGATTGGGGATGAAGTTTGATCTTGCTTCGGCGGCTTGAAGCGTAATTTGCTATGGGGATTTTGGATTTGACAATTTTGTGCGTTCGCGGGGGCCATTGAGAATCAGCCAACGAGGTGCAGGCGGAAGGAAGAGTGGATACAGTGTGGCTGATTGCTTTGATGTGGCTCAGAAGCTCACACCAGCCACACGTGTGAAGCCGGCGTGGCGGTGACGTTGCCTAATGTGGCGTCCGCTCCAGGCTTCATCTAAGAACATGACACCTTTCACTCCGCAAAAACCATATATATATAACTCTAAAGGCCGAATCCTCCTCTATATTTTCCTCGAGTCTCTCCTTAGATCCTCTGAAAAAGGCGTTTTGTCACTTCATTTCTCAGTTCAATCTGTCACAACTTGAAGATCGTCTCCACAAGCCACGCCAAGATGCCTACGCAACTCGACAACATGATGAAGTCCAAGGTACGAAGCTCTGTCTCTCAAAGTCTAAAGTCAGAAAGCTAACAATGGGGAAGAACATGGTTCTTGGTAGGTTGACGAGCCCACGCCACATGAATATGCACTAACACTTGCAAGCTTTCGGCGGCGCTGTCACAGCAGCTGCTCTGTGGACCATCTGGGGCAGCGATATGTTTCCTGCAGAGCAAGATCCAACAGGCGACCCCGAGGGCTGGTCCCGAGAGGACATGCGCAGGTGGCTGGCTGCCGTGGGTGTTCCTGGGTTTGGGCAGAGAGTTGTCAACTGACGTGATGTGCTAGAGGAAGCTGTATCCCGGGGAGAGTGCGACGAGGGAGGAGTTGCTTGCTAGGGTTTTGGCCAACATGAGGATCCCGAGGCAGTGAGCTGAGCTCTGTGTGTGTGAAACTCATGTTGGCTTAGTCTTTGCTTGTTCTTTTGCAAAGTTTGGCGTTGATAGGCGTGTGCTACCTGGTGTGTGGGACAATGCATGATGGTTTTCAAATTGGTCTGGATGAGGAACGCTCCTACAAGCGGTCAATGCCCACCATATTAATCAAACCGACGGGAAAGAGTCGTGTTCCACGTGCGTAAAGTCTTAATCAATTCAGTCTGATAAGATTATAATAACCTCCGTATAGATACCACAACCTGGTTTAGGGTAATTCAATGATACGAGGAATGTCTCGCCAGGCGCTATGCAGCCGGGCCGCCAATGTCATCCCCAGATCCACTTGGACCGAAGTCATCGTCCAGCCACCACTGTCCCCAGGCCCGAACTCTGCTTCTTCGCCTTCGCATACGCGAGACCTGCGCATTATAGCGAGAGCCCAAGCGCTCCCGTGGTCGCTTGAAAGCACCTGAATACTTTGGCCACATTGCGTTAATCTTGTCCCATCTGCTGCCTCTCAATGCGCGAGCGACGTCATCCCAAGGACCCCATGATCGCGAAGCCAAACACCCACGAGTACCGGTCCGCTACCAACCATGGCCTTTCTCGAAGATCCCCGACTGCGTCAGCGCTGGAACCAAATCACGCAGGATGCCGAAGCCGCCACTGAGAATGCGGCAGCCGGAATCTGGTCATTCCAGCAACATTATGTGAACCCTTGCTTGGGCTCTGTCGCCGCTTCGATCCAATCCTGCACCGCTGTCTGCATAGGCGATGCCGAGGACCGGTTACGGAGGCGGCGGGAACGCGAGCGCGAACGTGCAGAGTACAGCTTTGACTTTTACGACGACTGGTACGAAGAGGAGGAGCAGGCTGGGGGAATTCTGGGAGGTTGGGGAGGCGAGGATTGGGATCGCCTGTTGGCGGGCACGGGGAGCCAAAAGAAACACCATGCAGCGGGCGCGACCGCCGAGCAACCGAAACGAAAGCGAGGCATGAGCTATGGCACAAAAGGGGGCAGGAGGCCGTCTCGAGGCGAGGACCCTACGATCATCCCCAGTACTCAGCCGATTGGCTTTCTCAGCAAGTTGCCCTTCCGAATGGGCGGAACACTGCGATACAAGCCGAGCGCGGCGAACCTACAAGAACACCCAGGGAAGCCTGATGCAGCAGAGGCCGAGCCCTTGCTGGGGTCGGACTCGTCGTCTGATGCCGGCCATATTGTAAGATCGCGTAAGCGCAGCGGCACGGCTGGCTCGGGCGACACATCAGACTCATATAGGTCCCGAGGCGACCTATTCCCGAGTGACGGCGAGGGTGAAGAAGATGCAGTCCCTTTGGATGACGATGTTACGTACGACATGGTGCGCAAGGACGACCGCAGCAGCTGCAAGACACGCAGCAGCAAGGGCAAAAGACCGGCTTTGAGCGGCTCCCGGACAGTCTCACGGACGACGCTGGGATCAAACGCATCACGCGACTCACTACGACTGACACGCGTGCCTTCTGGGCTATCGGCGTTCACGCCGGACGCTGAAGCTATGCCTTCACTCGAGGATATGCAGATGGAGGAAGAGCATCTTCGCATGGTGGAAGATGAGAAGATCGCCAAGAGCAGACAAGCTGCGGCGCACTTGGCCAGGGCCAGAGGTCTCAGGGTGGATAGCCCTGAACTGCAGCCCTCAACGGGGCAAAGGATGGACGTGGCCCCAGACGAGGTGTATGAGCCGGCAAAGGAGGCGATGTCAGTCGCAGAAGCTGGAGCACCGCTTCAACCCGATACGAAGTCACCTTCAAAATCAGAAGAGAGGGATGAGTTTGTACCAGCGAGGCTGCCAAGGTTTGGCTGAAGCTGAAGGTATCTGCACTGTCCCGCAATAAGTGCCATGAAAAGCGCTTTCCGGACTGTTAACAGCCACATCGTGTGGACGTTTACGGCGATCTTGAAGAGACGACGAGCAGCGCATCGCGCAAATACCTTTGCCTTTGCAATGCGTTGCGATTGTCCTTGGAAGCACCCGTTATCACGACAGCCTCGGTGTTGCGAGGTGCAGCACATGTGTTCCAAAGTCATGACGACGGATTGTCCTGAGGAGCGAAACTCCGGCGAGCTGGTACCCCATACGGGAAGTGCCTCGGCGCGAAGTCGACGTTTGGGGCAATTTCCCCACGATAGGCGGCTCCCCCCCGCATTTGGTTGGCCCACCTACTAATATCAAGTCTACGGACGTGCGCGTGCGCTCCAACAGTCAAATGTCGAGGCAAGCTTCCACACCAAACCGACCTACCACTGTTTTCTTCACAGATTTTCACCTCAGCTTCTTCGCTGGGCTCTAAAAAGTACACCCACAACCATTAGACATTTGGAAGCTCGAGCCGGACGAGGCAGCGCAGACACAATGGCACCCCAAGGTCCTATCACGACACCTCTGACGACCCTGCTGGGCATTCAGCACCCTGTGGTGCTCGCCGGCATGGCCCGCACATCGGGTGGTGCTCTCGCGGCTGCTGTATCCAACGCTGGCGGCCTGGGTGTTATTGGTGGGTTTCAGTATACGCCCGATCAACTACGGGAGATTATTGCCGAAATGAAAGCGGCCTTCAAACATCCCAACCTGCCGTTCGGAGTCGACTTGGCGTTGCCCCAGGTTGGCGGCAACGCGCGCAAGACGAACCACGACTACACGCATGGCAAGCTGGAGGAGCTCATTGACATCACCATCGACAGTGGGGCTGTGTTATTTGTCAGCGCAGTGGGCGTGCCTCCCAAGCACATTATTGACAAGCTGCACAAGGCCGGTATCTTGGTCATGAACATGGTCGGACACCCCAAGCACGCCGTCAAGGCTTTCGAGCTGGGCGTTGACATGGTCTGCCCCCAGGGCGGCGAGGGTGGCGGGCACACGGGCAACATTGCCAACTCGGTCCTCATCCCGGCCGTCGTCGACGTCGCACGTCAGTACAAGCCTCGCATGCTCAAGGGGTCAACCGCTCTCGTCGTGGCGGCTGGAGGTATCTCCAACGGGCGTGGGTTGGCCAGCTCGCTCATGCAGGGGGCGGTGGGCGTCTGGGTAGGCACTCGCTTTGTGGCGTCCGTGGAGGCCGGGTGCAGCGAGGAGCACAAGCGCGAGGTCGTCAGCTGCGGCTTCGACGAGACAGACCGGACACTGGTGCTCAGCGGACGTCCCTTGAGGATGAAGGTCAACGAGTACATCAGGGACTGGCACTCGAGGCCGCAGGAAATTCAGGCGCTGTGTGACAAAGGCATCACGCCCATTGAGTATGACATTGATGAGGGCAAGGATATTGATCTGCCTCACCTGATGGGCCAGGTCGCGGGCTCCATTGCCAAGATACAACCTGCGGGTGAGATTGTCAAGGAAATGGTCAACGAGGCAGCAGAGATGCTGCAATTGGGTGGTACGTACCTCAACGCGAGGAGTAGGTTGTGAGCTGCGTATACCGGTCGTGTTGCTACGACGAACCGACCAGAGCACATGGGCCTTGGCGAGGCGGTGTATGGCTACGGCTCAGGGCTGCGCAGCCGGTCAGTGCATCAATGGATGCGTGTAATAATAATATTGCTTGGACACTACGTACAAGTCTGGCACAACATGCATACAGCTTCCGCGTCCGATCGAACCGCGGATGGATCTACCCTTTTGGGCTGTGGCGCAACCAAAGTAGAGTAGACTACGTGAATACCAAAGAGCACGTTGATCAGCAGCACAGGCATTATTAGTGAATGAGTGTGGACTGGATATCACCGAGACTGCACAAATCATCGATTTCTCTCAGTCATGGAAACCTTTGGGCTTACGGACGCTACGTGGCGTGGCTTGGTTGTCTACTGATCTCATTCGGACGTGTATTAATTTTACATCAATACGACAATTTGCATCATGCATGAGCCTTTGCTTCTACGTAAAGCCCTTTCTGTTGACTTTTGCAGGCTAGGCTGGTTCGTATTGCTTGACCCCACTCTGACGGCGGTAGCATCTCAGCCAAGAATAACCAAGAAGATGCGGAGCATTCTCACGCCAGTCTACCAAGGTGCCGGCATTGCCGCTGGCACGGGGACTTTCCACGATCTAGCCCCCCCGGGACTTGGTCGCAGCAGTCGTTGATCATAAGCAATAGCGTTGTCTTGTCCGTGTTCCTAGGCCTAGGTCATGTTCGATCAATAATGGGAGCCCCGTCCCATCCTGCGTGTGTTTCTAAAACCAGCTCGTCGTCGATGGTGGAGCGTGACTCGGATCAGACCGAGACTACTGATTAGCGCTGGTTTGTCGAAGTCTACGTGCCGATGGCCGTCTCAGTGACTTGACTTTATGACGTGGTTGTTTTTCATATCGGCAAATACGGTCGCTTGGCGATGAAGAAAGAAGCCTGATGTCCAGGGTCCAGCCCACCTCACCTCACCCTCACCCTCTCACGAGTCACAATTTCAAGTCCCAGACAGATCTCGCTGAACTGTGGGGTAAGGTACACAGCTAAGGACCGAGTCCTGCACAATGTCGCCCTCTCCACCTCCAGTTCTAAGCGACTCCTCAGGCGGAGTTTCCCTGGACGATTCCACCCCATTCAATAATACGAGGGCTGATCAATTGGCATGGCGTCTGGGGCCGGCTATCCTCCCATCGCACCACAGGTACTTGGACGTCAGCTGAGTGAGAGGCTGCAGTAGCACCGTACCGCAAGCATGACCTGATCGACAGCTCGGTATGCACTGGGCGAGGGTGATACGAGATGGTCTGGGGCCGAGGTGGCTTGGCTGACAGCATCGCAACTTGCCATCGGCCTGTCGGCCGTCCATGTCGCTGGCCACGATGATATCTCTGAGCAACGGGCGAGGTCCAGCAAGGGCAGGCGAGGTCGGCCTCGAGTATATAAGGCTGGCATGTCTCGCTCCCTTGAGACAGGAAACCTTTATCAGCATCAAGCATCTTCACACTTCCACCATCACCCCTTTTTCACACGCAAAACTCTTCTCACCAGCCGTCCCCCCCTCCCCCAGACCACCAACAACCCGCCGCCCATCATGAAGTTCTCCGTCGTCACCGCCCTCACCACCCTCCTGGCCTCCGGCGCCATGGCTGCTCCCGCCGACGTGGACGCCCGCGGGGTGGCCACCGTCTCCATGACCGCTGCCGCCGTCTGGACCATTGAGGGCATGAAGCGCAGCTGCGACAAGCCCGACAACAAGTGCGCCTGGTCCTTCACCATCAACAACAACGCCGGCTCCAAGCAGGGCTGCAGCTACACCGTCAAGCGCCAGGGCAGCCACACGCCCGCCTCCCGCAGCCCCCAGACCGGCGTTGACTGCGGTGTCTACACGGTCACCAGCGGCTGGTCGGGCCAGTTTGGCGAGGGCAACGGCTTCACGACCCTCAGCGTCGTCAACAACAAGGACCGCACCATTGCCTGGCCCGCCTACACCGACAAGCAGCTCAAGGGCGGAAAGGTTGTCTCTCCAAACCAGTCTTACCCTGTCCAGAATCTTCCTTAAGCGGTTGATCTCGGTACAAACTCAGTTGTCCAAGGGTAAAGCTTGCTGATGGGTGTTATGGGAGGGTTTTGAGCGACACACGGTCTTTCTTATAGAAATCTAATGTTTACATCCGGCTTTGCGACATATCTCCAATGTTCGTCATGTGAAGCTTTCTGTATCTTGTTCATCATGAGGTGATGTACGCCTCGACGCACAGTACCGCCTCAGACCTCCACAGACAATCTTTTTCTCGCGAGAGCACTCTCCCTCCAGCTCCAGAATCCGACATATGACGCAGCAGGTCCCACGAGCACTTGCCCCACGGCGGTGTACGCAACGGCATTGATGGCTTCACTAGACCCCACGCAGCCGAGATGGACGAGATCGTAGGCATTATAGGCCAGGAACACCAATATGGACACTGTGAGCAGCAGCAGGTCATATCTCATGAATATCCCCATGGCTTTCACGGGGTTTTCAAGATCCCACACATCAAAGGGCGCTGGAAGATTGCAGAACACACCGCTGAGGGAGAGCTCGGGCTCGGTGACAATGTAGCCCAGAATAACGACATGGCACGCAAAGGCCAGTGTGAATGCCAAGCTGTAAACGAATTTCAATGTAGGCAGTGGGTTCACGACTGGCGCAGCAGACTCCTGCGTCGTCTTGGCCATGGGATTCGTGGGCGCCGTTCCACTGGACGCCTGCTTGATCACGACACCCAAAAAGGTCGTCAAGACGGCCAACGTCAGGGGACTGGGCTGCCATGAGGCGATGATATTCTGCCGGAGCTCTACGTCGCTCGTGGGGACCAGCATGAGAAATGTCGGTATCGCGAAGCTGATGATGGTAGCCGGGAACGCACTCTTTGCAATCTGCGGTGGCACTACAATCTCGAGAGCATCGCCTCTGTCCGAGAGGATGGAGAGGATGAAGTAGATGGGCGCCACGAGGCCCACACCAAATATCTGCATGGCGATACCGTACAAACTGGTTCTGCGCTTTGTTAGCAGACACTCTACGCTGGCCACAGTGAGGTCGCCGTCCTACCGGTTGCCGCGACGCCAGCCCTCGATCGTCCATAGCATGAGAGTCACACCCAGGAGTGGTGCAAAGTACATCAACTGCGCCTTCGTGTTGGGTTCATCGCCGGCCAGAATGTAGGAGAATGCTGAGACGAGCTTGGCGAGGAAGCCGTCCACGGGCTCGAACCCGGTGTACGTTGTCTTGAGAGGGTAGCGGCCTGCGAAAGAGTTGAGACTATCCTGTGGCACGCGAAGCGCATGGCGCGCCACCACGACTATCGGGGCGAGTAGTGCAACGGCAATGACACGAGAGGCCCAGTTGATAGATCTGGCCTTTCGAATTTTGGGTACGTCTGTGTCGGAGGTGGATGACGAGCCTTTGGCTGGTGTGGGTGGCTGCTTTGCCGCTGTCTTGCGTGCTCTGGCCATTGTGAGAGTCAGTGGCAGGTTCGCTGTGAGGTAATGGTTGAGATGCTGAGCCTCAGAGCGACAGTCCCCGTTTTGAATATTAGAATGAAAAGGCCAGAAATCTCTCAAGTCTCGGCTGCAATGTTGAGCGGCTCTCGTACAAATATGTATGTATTCACGCTTGGCCCTCGAAGGATCAGTGGATCTCGACGTCAGCTTATCGATAAGACGTGGGCTCGCAACAGTGGATCCTTCCCAACTTTTTTTTCCCTAGCACCGGCAGAAAGTTCAATGTGCTTGCTGCCCGCCATCCCCATTCCCTGCCACCAACAAATCGATTTCCACACTACGAACCACACACACGAGCACACACAATGGGCGCCGCCACAGTCACGAAGAAGCGCAAGGTCCGCGACGCAGAGGGATCCGAGGCTGTGTCTGTGACCAAGAAGACGAAGAAGATCAAGAGCCCCGCGCCGCCAGTCGAGCCACCCAGCGAAAGCGAAGAGGAAGTCCCGGAGGACGAGGAGGACGACAACGCTGAGGGTGAAGACTCAGAGGACGATGTGGCCGAGAATGGCGAACCCGATGATCTTCCTGCCCAGAGCCAACCGCTTCTCCCACCGACCACAGCCTCCGACCAGTTCGAGGATCTCAAATTGTCCGAAAAGACCATGTCGGCCATCAAAGACATGGGCTTCACCAAAATGACTAGCATTCAGCGCAGTGTACGCAACATCCCCTGGCGCTCCACACAATGGGGCTGGATTAGCTAACATGGACAGGCGATACCACCTCTGCTGGCCGGCAAAGATGTCCTCGGCGCTGCCAAGACTGGCTCCGGCAAGACCCTCGCCTTCCTCATCCCCGTCGTCGAGATGCTCTCCTCCGTGCGCTTCAAGCCGCGCAACGGCACCGGCGCGATTGTCGTCTCGCCCACCCGCGAGCTGGCGCTGCAGATCTTTGGCGTCGCGCGCGAGCTGATGAAGAACCACTCCCAGACGTACGGCATCGTCATTGGCGGCGCGAACCGCAAGGCCGAGGCCGAGAAGCTGCAAAAGGGCGTCAACCTTCTGATCGCGACACCGGGCCGCCTGCTGGACCACCTCATGAACACGCCCTTTGTGTACAAGAACATGCGGTCGCTCATCATTGACGAGGCGGACCGCATCCTCGAGGTCGGGTTCGAGGATGAGATGAGGCAGATTGTCAAGATCCTGAAGCCCAAAGACCAGGTCAACGACCGGCAGACGATGCTCTTCTCCGCCACGCAGACGACCAAGGTCGAGGATCTCGCGCGCATCTCGCTGCGTCCCAACCCGCTCTACATCAACGTCGACGAGGAGAAGCAGTTTAGCACAGTCGAGGGGCTGGAGCAGGGCTACGTCCTGTGCGACGCCGACAGGCGCTTCGTCCTGCTCTTTTCCTTCCTCAAGGCCATGATGAAGGTGCCTGCGGCCAAGCCGGACGAGACCGAGGAGGAGAAGACGGCGCGGCTGAACAAGAGGAAAAAGGTCATTGTCTTCTTCAGCAGCTGCAACTCGGTCAAGTACTACTCGGAGCTGCTCAACTATATTGACCTGCCCGTCCTGGATTTGCACGGCAAGCAGAAGCAGGAGAAGCGCACGAGGACGTTCTTTGAGTTCAGCAACGCGTCGCATGGCATCCTCATCTGCACAGACGTCGCAGCGCGTGGCCTCGATGTAAGTCATTCCCCGCCCGGTCACGAGGTGATCCATCGCGATACTAATTGGTTCCTGCCAGATCCCTGCCGTCGACTACATTGTCCAGTTCGACCCCCCCGACAACGCGACAGACTACATCCACCGCGTCGGCCGGACAGCTCGCGCCAACACCAAGGGGCGCAGTCTCATGTTCCTCCAGCCGAACGAGGTGGGCTTCCTCTCGCACCTCAAGGCGGCGCGCGTGCCCGTGTTTGAGTACGAGTTCCCGGCCAAGAAGATCCTCAACGTGCAGTCGCAGCTAGAGAAGCTCGTGGGCGACAACTACCACCTGCACTCGAGCGCCAAGGACGCTTTCCGCTCGTACTTGCACGCGTACGCGGCGCACAGCCTGCGCTCCGTCTACGACGTGAACAAGCTGGACCTCGCCAAAGTGGCCAAGAGCTTTGGCTTCAAGGTGCCGCCGAGGGTAGACATCCAGCTGGGGCAGAGCATGGGACGGAACAAGACACAGGGACGCAGGGCCTATGGTAGTCAACCGAAGCAGGCGAGGGGCAATTACCAGGGGAGACGACACGCCTAACGGATGGCTGGAGACTGTACGCTGGCGTTGGGAGGAGTTTGAAAGAATTCTTGTAGACTTTACGTATGACTCTAATAATGTCAGCGGTTGAAGACAATTAAGCTGTGAATCACACACATGCATGCATTGAATAACGTTGCATTTCAGTTGCTGCACCGGGTAGGTAGGCAGACCTTGAGCAGGGGCCCACTTGTCTGACGCAGGTGCTCGTGTCTTACTTACCCTGTAGATGACTGGAGCCGCGGCCAAGCTTCGCCATCCTGGGCGACGCGTCAACAAACCCAGTCTCATCTCATCTCATCAGTCAGCTGCCTGGTCCTTCTCCCCTACGACGTCTTACGGCCAATGTCAAGACGGTCACTGCCGCTCGTTTCCAAACATCTTTGGCTATAATGGAGGCCCACAATGCCATTGTCGCCAAGGTCGCCGAACGTGTGCAGCACTTTCACAGCATCCAGAAGCCGTTCCGCATCTACCATGGCTCGACCAACTCCACCCGTCCGTCGCACCGTTCCGTGGACAACACCGTGGACACGTCCAAGCTGAACAAGGTGCTGCACGTCGACCCGGTCAAGCTGACGGCCACGGCGGAGCCAAACGTGCCGCTGGGCGACCTCGTCAAGGCCACGCTCCAGCATGGCCTGCTGCCGCCCGTCGTGATGGAGTTCCCGACCATCACCGTCGGCGGCGGCTTCAGCGGCTCCTCCGGCGAGAGCTCGAGCTTCAAGCACGGCGCGTTCGAGGCCAACATGGAGAGCATCGAGATTGTCCTGCCCAATGGCACCATTGAGCACGCCTCGCGGACTGTCAAGCCGGATCTTCTCTGGGGCGCCGCCTCGGCGTATGGCACCCTCGGTGTCGTCACCCTCGTGGAGGTGCGCCTCCGCCCGGCCAAGGACTTTGTCGAGCTGCGGTACATTCACTGCAAGAAGCCAGAGGACTATGTCCAGGTGATCGAGGCGGAGAGCGCCAAGCCCGATGTGGAGTTTGTGGATGGCATTGTCTACGCCCGGGACTCGACCGTGATCTGCTCGGGCAAGTTCGCCGACGCTGTTCCCGAAGGCAAGAAGACGGTCGGTTTCACCAAGCCGAATGACCCCTGGTTCTACCTCCACGCCCAGGACCGCGAGCGCAAGCTCAAGGCCGGATCGCACACCGAAGACGAACTGGTGGACTACATCCCCATCACCGACTACCTCTTCCGCTATAACAGGGCCGGGTTCTGGACCGCGCGCTATGCCTTTCAGTACTTTGTCACGCCGTTCAACCGGATCACGCGCAGGGTGCTCGACAAGTTCATGCAGACAAGTGTCATGTACCACGCCATGCACAAGTCCGGCCTGCACGACTTTTACGTCATCCAGGACGTGGGCGTGCCGTACGCGCGGGCGGCCGAGTTCCATAACTTTCTGGATGACACCTACAAAATGTACCCTATCTGGCTGTGTCCCCTCCGCATCCGCCGCGACGAGCCCAATTCGGGCCACGGTCTGCACGCCGAGTTTTCCGACCCGGACACCGAGTCCCATCTCCTCAACTACGGCGTCTGGGGCCCCGTGCCGGGTGACAGGAAGGAGGTCGTCCGCCTGAACAGGCTGCTGGAGCACAAGGTGCAGGCGTGCGGCGGCAAGAAGTGGCTCTACTCGCACGCCTACTACACCGAGTCCGAATTCTGGGCGCACTACGACCGCGAGGCGTATGATGCCGTTCGGGGACGCTACGGCGCGGGCCACCTGCCCAGTGTCTACGACAAGACCCACGTCGCCTGGGAGAAGGAGGAGGCGGCGCTGGCCAAGAGGCCGGTGAAGAGGATCGCGTGGAAGATCTGGCCGCTCCGGGGCCTCTACGGCGTGTACCACGCGTGGACGGGCAACGACTACCTGCTGTCCAAGAGGAAACAGGAGAACGCGGCCGCGAAGCAACAAGCGCAGGAGCAGCAGCAGCAGCAGACGCGAGACGAGGAGAACCCTGTCAAACCGGGGACAGCTGTCTCGGCCGAGCCACCACAGCTCGAGGTGCCGCAGCGTGTAAGACCCATGTCGACAGCATTTGCGGAAGATCCCAACGAGACGACCCAGACCAGTCAAGACATCCCTCGCGCCCCTGCGCAGTCCACCGAGGCCAAAGCGTGAGAGTTTGGGAAGACAGAGTAAGTTTGACACACCGAGGAGCAGCATTCTTTGTGTTCTTGATACCACCCATTGTATTCATAGACGGCGCCATCCAGTAAACTACACGTAATAATACACCACACTTCACCACCACCGACCAGCTGTCCAGCTTAGTCGCTCCTGAAGCCACCCATGCCTCCCTTGCGACCGCTAAACTCGCCCAAGCCTTTCGACGTGTCATTCTCCGCGCGCGCCTTGACCTCCTCCCAGCCCTTCTCGCCGCGGGCCTTCATGTCCTGCCAGCTGCTCTCGCCCTGCCGGCGCAACTCGTCGGCGCGCGCCTTGGCGTCCTCCCAGCCCTTCTCGCCGTGGCGCTTCATCTCCTCCCACTTTTGCTCGCCCTTGGACCGGGCCTCGTTCAGATTCTGCTCGCCCTGCGCCTTGAGGCGGACGGCAGTCTGGTCGGCCCGCTCGAGATCCTGCTTGGGCGAGCCCGAGGTGGTGTAGGCGTAGAGGCCCAGCAGGGCGAGGGCCACGCCGGCCATGGCGGGCCAGTTGCGCTTCATCGTCTCGTCGCGCCCGGCGGGCTTCTGGGGCGGAGGCTCCTGGCCGCCGGGACCGCCAAGGTCGTCGGGCCCGCGGATCTTGGTGCGGGTCTGGAGCATGGTGGCGCCTGAGCGCATGGGGTGCGCGGCGAGAGGGCGCATGGAGGTGCGCAGCACGTTGGAGGTTCTCGAGAGAGACATTGTGTGTATGTGTGGGGAATGGATATCTTGCAAATCTGTAGGCGTAGGAATTGACCGTAGGAGCAGGTGTTATATGAGAAAAGGTGATCCTTTGGGGTTGTGGTGAATTAAGGTACCTTGGCTCTTATAGCAGGTAGCTCTTGTAAGCTACGCGACGGTGACGACAATATTGTGGGGGGATCGGGAGGCTGCGATGATGCACGAATGACGACTTGAGGCAATCAGACCTGTCTCACCTTTTTCAGTCAGTCCCCCCGACCTTGGAAGTTTGAGACTGATCTCACATTTATCTGACTTTGATAGCATTCCAGCATCGCAGTGCAGCGATTTGTATGTGCAGCAGTCAAAGTCAATCGACTCTTCACAGTATAACAACTTTGAGCAGCGGCAGCCCAGCTGGCCGGTCTAGAGCTCATCACCTGGCTCCTCCCCCTGTCGCAGGACCACCACCCCGGCAATGTCGACGCCAATGTCCTCCAACGCGACCTGCTCGCCAGAGGCCCTCGTCGCAGTCGTATTGAGCTTCCCGCCGACGTGTTGGAACTCAACCTCGGCGCGACCCTCACCGCCGTCAAGGCTCACCCCGTCATCCACGTAGAGCCTACCTGACGCAGCGCCATCGGAGCCCAGCGCGACGAGCAGCTCGAACGGCTGCTTCCGGAGCTCCGTCGTCGTGTGCGCGCTTTCGCTCCTCAGGGGCAGGATGCAGCCGCCGCGGATGTGCAGCGGGATGCGATCAAACGCAACGTCCTTGATCGTCGTCCAGCCATTGCCCCTGACCGGCGCACGGCTGTCCCACTCGTAGAACAGCGCACCCTTGGGCATGTACATGTCCACGTCCGTGGACCCCTCCTGCGTCACGGGCGAGACGAGCACGCAGTCTCCGTAGAAGAACTGCAGGTCGATGCCAAAGGTCTCCTCGTCCTGCGGGTAGACGTGCCACATGGGCTTCAGCACGGCGGGGGTCCCGTCGCGGCTCTGGAACTCGAGCGCCGTGTAAATGTAGTCGAGCAGGCGGTAGCGAACGTCAATCGCATACTGCGCCGCCGATGTGACGAGAGGCCAGAGGTAGAACTCTTGGTGCGCCGCGCTCTCTGTCGCGTGGTTGCGGTAAAAGGGGTTGAACGCGCCGAGTGTCGCCCAGCGTGCGCACAGTTTCTCGTTGGTGCTCTCGCCAAAGCCGCACACGTCGCTGCCGACCATGGGGATCTGGAAGATGGACGCGAAGCTGAGCATCTGAGCGATTTGGATGCGGCTGTCTCCTGGTCAGCGCTACGTCGTCTTGAGGGGAGGGAGGTGAAGAGGGGTCGGGGGGTCGGGGGGTCGTTGCAAGCCATTGTGGGCGAGGAGGAACTCACTAGAAGCTCCATCGGGAGACGTTATCACCGAGCCACTTTTGCACGTAATGTCCCGTACCGGCAAATGTGCTTCGTGTAATGACAAAGGGACGCAGGTTGGGCCGACGAGCAAGCATGGCAGCCCTAGTGGTCATGCTCATCACTAGCACCGTTAGAGAGACATCTCAACGGGGCATGATCGAAACTCACAGGCCCCATACAAGTTATGGGTGTCATACGTCGTCAGGCCATTCGCGAGCGTCAAGTCAGTGTCCATGGTCATGTCGCTCAACTTGCCGCCAGGCGCCTTGTTGTTGATGCTGTAAGGTGGCGAGAGCAGGTCATCGGCCGCGTGGTCGACGTCGAAGTGTTTCTTGGAGTCAAGACCTCGCGATGCCAGCTCGCGCAGTGTCTCCTGCTCCGTGACCTTGGTAACCACCACCTCTCGGCTGGTGTTGAATGGCAGGCCCGGGATAGACCTGGGTGGTTCACGGACGGCGGGTGGCTTGGGCGGGAGATTGCGGTTCTTGGCCTCTCGATCGGGATTGCAGCCCTGACGACAGAAGCTGGCAGGCTCATTCATGTCGATCCTGGCTTCGTCAGTATAGAAGAAGACTCGTGGACCACATCCTCAGAACTCACCACACTCCGTCAATGTCGACGCCTGTCTCGGGGTTGAAGCTGTCGTGGAACATATCCGACCAGTACTCGGTGGCATTCTCGTGAAACCAGTCCGGGAAGACTGCAACGCCCTTTGCTCCGTCAGCAACTATGCATCAGACAAACAAGGAGAGACCACTTACTGGCCAGACGACGCCTCGGAACGGCTCCTGCCCATCCCTTCTCTTGACGAACACATCCATCCCCTTGCCACGGTTGTAGGCAGGATAGTCATGCTCAGCAACAGCAGGGTCTACCATGAGAGTGTAGTGCTGGTCACGCTCGTGGAGATACTCTATGAGGTCCTGCATGCGCTCAATCGGGTAGTTCCCAGGGTCGAGGCTGAAGACCCGGCGGTGGTCCATGTAGTTGATGTCGGTCCACATGGTCCTACCAAGTCAGCGAGGCCTGCTCTGGTTGTCTTGGATCAAAGAACTTACTCGAGTGGGATGTTGGCAACGGAGTAGTTGTGGACTACCTCGGCCACCTCGAACCAGTCCCGGTAGCCGTACTTGCATTGGTGGTACTGTTTGCCTGTCTCAGTCACCCATCATGGACAAAGGGGGTCGACTGGTTTGCACTCACCCCCAAGCTCCAGTATGGAACCATGGCCGGTACGCCAACGACCTCGGCATACTGTCGTGCCACGTCTTCAGGACCGGGTCCCGCAAAAAAGTAGAAATCCAAAACGCCGCCAATGATGTTGTACTCCATGTACTGATCCCCATTCTGGTCCTGGTTCAGCTTGATGTCCATGCCGTTCGAGTTGAGGAGGAAAACACCGTGCGTTCCGGTCAGTCGGTGATCCACGTAGATTGGGTGTGAGCCATAGAGGTTGTGGCCTTTCGGGATCGCCCCTGAGTCTCGAGCCCACATTGTCCTGCTGTAGTCTGTGGTTTTAAGACGAAAAGGATCACTATGCTCACCTAGGCCATAGAGGTTCGGTTGGGAGGGGAGCCATGTCTGCAGACGAAGGTACTGCCTCTCAAACACGAGAGAGGTGTTCTTGGTCGAGAAGAGGATCTCCTCCGTAGACCGTCGCGAGACAGTGAACGAGAATGGCGCCTTGGTAAAGTCAAACTTGAGATCCGGCTTCTTGGTCAGGCCCGTAGAGAAGCCTGGTCGAGGGATGATATCCTCGGGCACCTGATAGCGCTCGCCGTCGCGATCCTGGATCAGGACATGAAGACGCTTATCTGCAGAATGACTTCGTTAGCTTTCCAGTCAGTCCCCACTGACGTCGGCAGCAGTAGGAAGTGCCCACCGGACTGATACTCAGCTATGAACCGCAGGCTGGGGACATCTGCGCCATAGATGGAGCAGTTGTCTGCTATCAAGTCCAGATCGGCCTGGACGCCAAAATCGCTCTCGATGACATTGCTTGCTTGGTACCCGCCACAAATGCCGCTGTCCACACGAGCCACGCCGTTCCAGGTCGCCAGGACGGCGACCAACGCAACCTGCGTTATGACGAATGCCACCAGTGTGCCTTTGAACGCCCAGGACAGTCGTCCGGCGGGCTTCTTGCCAACGTCCATGCTGTACCGTGGGGGGCCGATCATGCAAGAGTCAAAGAATCTGTCAACAAAAACCTAGAAAGCAGTACAGCCACACAGAAAGCAAGCCTAGAAACGCGCCACCAAATCTCGAGGAACAGCGCCAAGGCTGCAAGAAGTCATGGCATTGTCCCTCACTTTCTGGGGATGCGGGGGGGAACAAATTAATATACGGGACGGGACGGACGTTTGAGGATGATCGTCTCCAGATCTACCAAGCGGCGCAAGTGTTGCGGGATCCTTACCCGCAACCCGTGCCCACTATGACCGCGTGATGAGACGGGGAGTGTCAGCTGGATTACATTGGCACAGGGGGCCCCAGAGTGCCAACAGACCACGGCAACCTCAAAAGACGTGAGCACGAGCCGTCGCATGATGTGAAGACGGAGGGCAAAAAATGCTACGCGAGAGATGCGTACGTGTACGAGTCGCGGGTGGTGTGCATGGCTGGATTATACGTCCGAATAGAGTAACCCCGGTTGGAGATGCAGCAATCTTAAAGGCTCACGTGGCGCAGCATGACTGACCGACTGACTTGGCAGAGTCGCTCGTGCACTTGACAGGTCACAGACGATACTTTCTCTGGCCTTGGCCCTTGGGGGTGGGTGGTGATGGCTGTCTGCAGTGTCGCACCCAGCGAGAGGTCTTTTACAAAATACTGCCCTCTACGCAGTATTTCATAGTGTCTGTGCCTGCGACGTGCGTTTAGCATTTGAATGGCGGGTCTGTCGCGTGAGCAAACAGTCGAGGAGCACAGACGGGTGAAGGTGAAGTCGCAAAAAGGCCCGCCCCTCTGACTAGTCTGAGCGGTGGCGCAGTTCGTAGTAGTTGAGGATCATTTTTTTTGTTTGAATAACAATAAAGCATCGTAAAGGTATTGCCGCCTAATTATGATTAATTACTTGTATGTACGGATACAAGAAAGATGATGTACGTATTGGTGCTGGTCCGCGCCCCCCCCCCCCCCGAGCCGCCCGACAGCCGAAGACTTATCTATAGCACCATCGTTCGTTGCGCAGCAATTCGTTCGGCCTGCCAGAATATGACACAATACGGACCCTGCCGAGTCTCGTGACAGCTTCTGAACACTAGACTCATCAAGCAGTCTGGGGAAATCGTGGGGGTGGGCTCCCTTCAGATGAGTTTATCCTTGTGTCGTCTGTCGGCTGCCATCGATCTCGGTCCGCATCCGCATCTGCACCTAACCGACCGCATACCACCTCTCAGGGTCCTGGGCACACTGAACAGCAAGGGCCAGTACGTCACTCACTGGATCGCGTCCGCTATGTGGCATGAACGTCCAGGTCGCACCTGCCAGTTGTGTAACTCTAACATGCAGAAGAGGATTCATTAGTACCTGAAAGACACCGTACAGATTTGGGACAGTCAAATGACAAGGCTTCGCACACGACCGGACGAAGCAATTGGGAGACCGGCCAAGCGCAGCCCCAACTCAAACTTGGGAGATCGACGAGCACTATTATCTCAGGGCTCCAACAAACCCGAGCTTAAAATTAAGTCGCGAAGGGAAGAAAACACTCGGATCGGCCTGTCGGGCTCCACCCCGCAGTCCGGTCCGTCGGCCGGTCGGACACGAGAAAGCACCACCAGTCCAGTCCAGTCCAGTCCAGTCCAGTCCAGTCCAGTCAGTCCACCACTCGACTGACTGCCCACAACCACCTGCGCCAAGCCCGACTGCTTCCCAGTACCTACTGGCAATCTCTGCCATCAAAGCGTACATTTGTCTCTCCGCATCGACCCAGACCGCCTCGACAGAGCCATCCTGAGACGACTTCGTGTCCGATACAAGCACACTCCCACTACTCGACCTCCACGCGACGACAGCCGCTTCTCTCAACCCATCGGACGTCCCACCAGACAATCAACCTCCCACCCAATTCACGCCGCTGACCACTTTCGTGAGTCTCGCGTGCCCATGCGAGACTCACAATGGACACTGCCTCCCATGCCAGCGCCAACGACGACCGGTCGCTCACGCCCGTAAACACCGCCACCACCACCACCTCCGACAACGACCCCAACTCGCACAAGTCTGGCTACTCGTCGCCGAGCCGGGTACAGAAAAAGTCCTCGACGACATGCACCACGTGCCGAGCAAGAAAGGTCCGCTGCAACGGCGTACGCCCCATTTGCTTCAATTGCCAACGCCTGGGCTTCCCCTGCTCGTACGACGACGACGCTGCGGATCCGGCAGCAGCGGCCGCGGCCTGGAGTGCCGCGCTGCCCAAGCGCAGGGTCAAGCAGGCCTGCCTGAGCTGCCATTCGCGCAAGGCTCGCTGCTCCGGACACATGCCCGCCTGCGAGCGGTGCAGGGCCCAGGGCATCGAGTGCGTGTACCGGCCGACGAAGCGGGCCAGGATCATGAATAAGAGCTTCAGCGCTGGCCGCCATAGTCCACAGAGCCACGACGAGGAGCGCGATGAGATGCATGATAGCGACCCTGGCTTTGGGGATCCGGCTGGCGGCGGCATGGCAACACCCAACTTTGGCTCGGGCGACGCTCCCCCAAACGGCTCGGCACCGGATGACTCGTTTGACGCCTTGATAGGACGCACCTTTGAGAAATTCTTTCGACACGTGCACCACATACCCATGTACTCCTTCTTGCACCGAGCGTCACTCATGGAGCAGTATCACGCGGGCAATGTAGAACGGCCTTTGTTGCTGGCCCTCATTGGAATCACCTCTTGCCTGACGGACATGGGCCCGGGCATGAGAGCGTACGGTGCGAGATGCATTGACGAGGCCGAGTCGCTCATCCTGATGGACTACGCTCGGCCGTCCACGATAAAGGTACAAGCGCTAGTTTTCATGATCAAACATAGAATCTTGTCGAACCGTTTTCAGAGCGCCTTCATGCTGCTGGGCATCGCCGGGCGATGCTGTGCAGCGCTACGACTTAACTACGACGCTCCCAGCCTCTGCTTCCTCGCCCAGGAATCGAGACGAAGACTCATGTGGTCTATATACTGCATCGACTCGGGACTGTCCGGCGGCCATCGTGACTTTTCTCTCTGGCGGGTGGAGCGCATATTCGTCGGCCTGCCATGCAACGAGCGCAACTTTGAATTCGATCTGCCCCAGGAAACTGAGCAGCTCATCCCCGAGCCGGGGCAACCACAGCTACCGCATGGCGAAGATGTCGGGTCTCTGGCCTTGCACATCCGCATCCAGCACATCCGTCACAAGATTGCCGAGTTCACAAAGGACGCCCTCAACAACCCGACAGTACGCCCCAGCAATCTACAAACGAAGGTCCTCTCCCTCCACCGCGAGCTCGAAGACTTTGCCGCCCACCTTCCCACCTCATTCCAGTTCTCCGAAAGTTCCCTCAGACTACGCGCCTATTCGCCGAGGATATGTGTCTTTGTCATGATCCACGTGTGGTGGCGCCAGTGCCACTGCGACCTGTACCGCCTGGGACTGATTGGCCTGAGAGAAGCCCTCCCGCACTCGGCTCTCGAAAAGTTTGACTCGAGTTTCATTGAGCATTGCCAGCGTCAATGTGTCGACCACGCCATGGCCATGGCGAGCATATTCCAATCCATGCAGAAGCTCGGCGCGAAACCAGTCGCCGACCTTGACCTCGCGATCTGTGCGTACCAGTGCGCGCGCATGCTCAAGTACGCCTACCACGCCAACTCGGGCAACCTAAACCTCTCGCCGGAATCGGTCATGGAGCAGTTCAACGTCTGTCTGCAGTGCGTGAGGGACTGCTGCATGGGAACTGCGGCCGCTGGTATTCGTGCGGACCTGGAGAAGCTCATCAGTCAGGGGCTGGGGCCGAGGATCACACCATCACGACCCAGCCCGCCCCCTGACCCGAATCGGAACAGAAGCTCGGGCAGATTCCCTGATGATGGGGCAAGTAATCAGCCTGTCCGGCAGATCCCCGTGAATAATGGCAACAGCCACAGGAACGGCGGGTATAATAACAGCAACAATAATAATGCGAACAACAGCATCTCGAATGATGTTGTCATGGCTTCTGCTCAAGATGCTGCAGCAGCCAACTCGGCGCCGCAGGAAACGTTCAACGTTCCACCCGCCCAGATGCTGCCCATGCAGACGAACATGATGGTCTCCCCTCAGAACTGGGGCTCGCCGGTGGGCAACGCTCCCTCGGATGCGCAGCAAGACTCCATGCCCAATGTCCAGCATCAGGAAGGCCCGCCGTCAGAGCTCAACAATGCTTTCGAGGGTGCCATGGATGGTCTTGGACTGGACAATGGCTTGGACTACGCCATGGGCATCGACGTGAACATGTGGACCCCTGGACAGAATAACGAGTGGCAGGCCCCCAGTGGCGACTTGAACATGAGCGGTGCCGGCGTCGGCGTCTAGAGCTCCTCGCCGATGGGTGCAAAGGTGGATGTGAGCAACATACAATTGGATGCCGTTACGAAGAAAAGGTGGAATTTCTATTCGAAAGTGATACCCATGCGACCCTGCTAGACATTTCAATGAACAACTACAAAATCGAGAATCCTACCTGGACAGAACTATGTCGCCTTGACTTCCACATCAATATGCGACTGGGTCTGTAGCTCGCTCTTTGCAAATGCACTACACTAAGAGATATGCGCCAGCTCCACATCGCAGTAAATCCCACACACCTGTCACCCTACATCTTCACGCGGAAGAGGTAGCGCAGCTTGACCTGGGCAACATCGTACACAATAAACTCGTTGTAGCAGAGTCCAACGCCCTTCACGCCTGTCGGCCCGGGCGTCTGGTCGAGGTCGGGCTGCGGAGCGTTAGTAACACATCTGTTCAACCTGATTTGCAAACTTACGATTTTGATACCCCTGAGGCTTGGATGAGCAATGCTGCCATCAACCCACTTGCTAGGGCCAGTATTGCCCATACCCCATGTGCTGTGCATGCCGCCTTTCTTCGCTGTTTCTCCGGCCTGGTAACTCGCATTCGTGAGCTTCTGCATGGGGTCGCCCAGTTCGGCCTCGCAGAGGAGGAGCAGTGCTTCGCCTCCGGTGATGTAGGAGCAGCAGTAGTTGGCAGATTTGGAGGACATGTCGGCAAGATAAATACCCTTGCCAAACATGTAACCACTGACAGGTGCTTCTGGCGGCGCGATGCGGAGACCCTGGCTGAGGATACCACCAAAGTTGGTCGCGCGGGAACCATGCCACAGAAGACGACGATCGGACTTGATCTTGGAATAGAGGGACTCGTCGAATCGAACTGTCTCTCCTTGTCGCTCAATGCGGAAGATCTGTTGCACCTTATAGTCGACACGGTGAGTAGCACCGCGGGAGTCTTTGAGGTACCGCGATAGCACGTCGAATTCGGTGCTCCCCTGATCCAGTGGTGTCATCTCCTCCATACCGAGGCCCTGGAACTGACGATCCAATGGGTGCACGGTGTGCTGTGTCTTCCTGTCGACCTTCATAATCTCGGCAGCGTCTTTCATGTCCGACAAGCTCTCCAACAGTTCAATCTCCTTCTTCAGCAAACCATCCTCGCCGATGATAGGTGGGCGATTGCGGCCAAATGCGTGGGGTATCACGGAGTAGTATGTATTGGACAGATGCTCCTTGGCCGCCGCGAAAGACATATTCCACTCAGAGGTCGCTAGATCAGGGTCGTCCATGATGGCAGCCAGATTCTTCAGCTGTTGGAAACCACGCGTAATGGTGGCCTTGCTGAGCTTTCCGAGTGGCATCTTGTTCGCGTCGTAGTTGAGAGCGCTCATGTTGGCCTGGAAGTATTGCTGGTTGAAGATGAGCTCCATCAGCTCCTGTACCGGCTTTTCGAGCGTACATTTAGGGGGGGGAATGTCCTCTTCAGCATCCTCCTTCTTGACGCCCTTTGTACTGGCTGCACCGTCACCATCCTCATCTTCCGAGTCTGGGTTGTAGCTCCGCTCAACAAAAGCATACTTCCCGGGCTTCGGGTCAGCACCACGATTATCCCATGAAAGGCCAGACTTGTCTTTGAACTTCTTACTGAAGTTCTTGATCGCGTCGGCTTCGCTGCCACTGCCTAGCATTGCGCTTTGGCCTACCTCACCAACGCGACCCCATCGAGTCCAGGTTTTGAAGTCACTTGCAGTTGCATTGTGGAGAATCTAGACGAATGTTAGTGAAGAGTCTCCTCAGCAGTTTGGTCTACAAACCTGAATCTTGTAAAACTTGTTCGCATTCTTGCCAGAATTGGATTGGTTGAGCGAGGCGTCCCAGATCAAACCAGTCGCCGGTTCCACGTATACTGCCCAGCCCTTCAACGGGCAATATGGATCTAGTTCCACAACCACATTGTCTTTGGTTGCAAACTGTCCCTCTGCTATTCTTTTTGTGTCCTCTGGAGATTCTGAGACCAACTTGTCTCCGTTAGGCCCGTCCGCTTTGGGCTTCTTCTGATCCGGCTCCTCGTCCACTTTGGGCGAGGCAGCCCGTTTCTTTGAGGCTTTCGCCCCGTTGACTGCTGTGCCATTCCTTGCGGCAAGCTTTGACCACAGGTAACCATCATGGTTGAGGGCAGTGCCTTGTTTGTTGCTGTCAATCACCCATTGAGGACTGACAATGGGCAATGATGCGTCTTCGGCTGCTTTGAGGTTCTTCCCCTGAGCACTGTATGCATCCTCCGAACAAACGACGTACGCGGTTGCTTTCGTAGTAGACCGGCTCACCTTGGCGCCCAGTGAAGTGAGTATCTTTTCCAGTCCTGCCTTAGTCTCACCGAAGGCGTCGAATTTTCCTTCCAAATAAATGGTGCACCCATCGAATGGACTGCTTGTTTGAGACACTTGCGCCGCAGCACCTCTAGCAGATCTGCGAGTCGCCATGTCTCCGTAGGAAGCTGCAGGTGTCAGTAATTGAATCGATCACTGAATGTGAATCAAGTGCTCACATGGTCCAAGCGAAAGTGAGAGAATGAGGAATGACAGAGATTCCGTAGGCGAGTGTCTGATCACAGGGCGGAAGTTCTGTGTCAATCTGAAGTGAGCCGCCAATACGAAGTTGCAACCCGAGATCTAACAGGGGGCTTGTGCAACTGTAACAACAGAGTGTCGGTGCACAAGTGGATTGCGAGAGACAAAGTGGGTGAGCGAGGTACAGGTTTGGTGGCGAAGGAGATGTGCCCAGTGTTGAAAAGCGCAACGACAAGAAAGAGTAGGGTGAAATATTTTCGAAGAAGAGTTGCTGGTGAGGCAAACAGCTGCCGTTTTGTTGTTGAACTTCAGCTGCGGAAGCCACGAGCCTTGGCACCGTACAGCTCAGCCTGGATTCAGTGGGGAAAGAACGATCCGAGCAGCTCCACAGACGCCAGGCACCAGCGCGTGTTGGCAGGGGTTGTGCAGGTCGTCCCTCCGCAACACGTCAATGACACGGATTCACATGACTTTTTTCCCCCTTGGAGCTTTTTACGGAGTACTGGGAGCAGGCAACAGCCTCCAGTCTCCGAGAGTAGCATCAGACGTTGACTCCACTCGATTCTTCAGTGAGCAGCGCACTTCAGACCCATGTTGCCAGTGTGTACTAGCGTGGGACCGCCGATCGCGGCCCTCGAGTCCTTGAGACCTTGACAGTACGGAGATGTATCCGTATACTGCACCACAGTAAGTCATGGACTATTGACCACATCACCGGTTGGTAAGTAAGTGCACTGCACCGGATACTTTATAGGTGCCCGAATCTATGTTAAGCATCAGTAAATTGAGTCTCTAGACATACGGGTCAATAGAAAGTTCTGCCTTTTTATATAAATTTTTGTTGAATGTCTTGTATTGACGCAGTAAACAAGCTGTATTGGGCCTGAGCAATCGCAATAATTACAAGGAAGATGATCCGTGAGCCAAATTGATACCTAGCTAAGGGCGATCCAAGGAAAAATGAAACGGCAACACCTTGAACGCCTTGCTGGGAGACGTTGTTATTCGTCATCTTCCAGGTCCTCCTCCTCGCTATCCTCATGAGCCTCTTCATCCATACTTTCTGTTGCCTATTAGCATTCAATCTTGCAAAGTGGAATGCAGGGAAGTCTATCATACCATCTGAGTCGCTGGAGTTGTTGTCGGAGGCGTCGTCTTGGAACAACGAAGGGCCTATCAAGGGAATGACGTTTTTCTCAACAAAAGTCTTCCAATCGGTTCCCTTGTAGTGTTTCGCGGCCTGCTTGTCCGTGAATAGAACTGGCCTCCGCGAGAGCCGGATTAAGAAGCCGCCGCGCTCCTGCATACAGCCAATCATGATTTCCTCCAAATGCAGGTGTGGAATGGTTATCAGCCGTTTAATGAAAGGTTCCCATGCAGAAGTCTTGGGGTCGCCAGGTGACGGGGTAGGCGGACGAGGTAGCAACGGCAGGGACACTTTCCAGAGTTCCAATTTGCGGAGCCGAGGGGCGAATTTAGCGATGACCGAGAACAGAGATTTAGGCTCCGCGGTGATAAAACCCAGACTAAGGGCCTCGAGCTTCTCAAGGTTGACAGGGCTAGGAAGCCCAGGGGGAAGACTGTTCAGATTGGCATGGGGATCTTTGGCCAAGATCGGCAACGACAGCCACTTCAAGAGACTTGAGGCCTCGGCCGAATCTCCGTTGTGTACATTGATGCGTAGACTTCGCAGGTTCGGCATATGTTGGAGAAACGCCATGAAGTGGCGGTAGTGATAAAAGTTATCTTGCTTGATGTTCGGATCCGTTGGATCGGAGCTTGCCCAGAGTGGAGCGGTGTCCCCTCGTAAGGTGAGGGAGACATGAAACATTTGAAATCCCCGAAGAACTGGGAGAATCTCTGGCGAGATAGTGAGGTCTAGAGCGAAGCTGTCGTCGTTCATGCTTTTGCCCTTGGACAAGTGTTCAATCGCCTTGACACTCACCTCGGCCTCCCCCAAAGCGGACAAGACACTGTAGAACACGGTGGCGGTGAAGTTGTCTGTATTGGCCCAGATTGACCAGGCTCCAATGGAGACTTCGGCGCCTGCCATCTCAGAGGTAGTGGCGCCATAGCTTCTCCGTATTGAGGTATTGACCGAACACCGCCGTCTCTTATTGGCCGAGTTGAAGTCGCGGACAACCACCTTGACAAGGTTGGGCAGGTTGCGCATTGCTTGCGCCAGAAGCTTTACTTGTTTGCCGGTGCGGAGCAGCATGACCTGCGCAGCATAGAGATTGTTGACCTGAAGGTAGCGGTCGAGGCTGGCTGAAGTCATGTCGGCACGGTTAGGTTCCAACGGCAGGATCTGATCCGTGCCAATCTGGAGGCATCGGATCTTGTCTGCGAGTCTGCTTTGAGAGATGCGGATGAGGGCGTGGAGGCTGAACGGACTGAGCATGAATTGCTTGCTCGAGAAGAACTCTTCAGTGAAGGAATTCCAGATGCTATCTTCAATGACCTTGCAGCTCAGGCGAAGAGAGCATAGCTCTGGCGTTGTAAGATATTGGGTTATGGTCAGCAGTATCTCCACGGGTATTGCCTTGATTGGGCATGCCGTCTGGCTCGTGAGGCTGTCCATTGTGTAAAGTGACTGGCTTGAGTAATTCAGGCTTTTTCAGAGAAAGTGAGTTGAAGTCGTAAGCAGGGACTTGACAATTTATAGCTCTGCCAGCTCAATGACCTCCAGTCGCGTTACACAACATATTATGTCTCAAGAGTCAAGGGGCTAGGCTGCAGGCAACAGTGCTGTGTGGAGTCGTGGACCCATACAATGGTGTGTTTTGGCTAGGCGGTAACCCTGTCAGGAGTTGTGCCAATGTTGAGTGAAAATTGCAGCTTGGGAGCGGGAAAAGGGCCCAAGAGCCGCCCAGGGCCGTCGGATGATTCGCACCCTTGCATTGGCGTGTAGTCATTCATGACTAAACCATACATAGCTAGAATCTGCCCACTAGCGTAGGTGACTTTGTCTAGTGAGTACGGTGTTGAAGCGCGGCCGGCGTGTTCACTATATGCATATCACAAATAGACGCACAGAGTTCAATTGAGCTTTGGCAGAGCGCATGACAACATGTGACGGCCTAGTAAGTTTATTCATGCAGAACATAGATTCAACTGGTGACGCGATTATTAGTCCGTGTGACTTCGTATTGTTAAGGTCTCTGAAAACATGTTTTGGCTGGGGAAAGGCCAAGCCAATGGGTATAGTGCCAGTGATACGCAGCGCCTCAGTCTCAAGATCATCCGAACAGTGAAAGAAGAACAATCTATAATAATGTAACGCTCGCAATGTGCCAGCTTTCCAAGCACGCTCATCACTTGAAGCCCACAAACTCATTCTCTCGCAAGAAATTCTTGGCAGGTTCGTCGCCGCCTTGCTCCGCTGCCTCCATCCAGTGAACGGCAACACACATTAACCCCGGATCGTTGCGGGGATCAGCCTCTTCGGTTCCATACTTCTCAAAGGCACTGCCCATCGAACCACCGAGACGGCCCGCTGAGCCTTGGGAGCCCGCGATGCCAGCGCCAGGCACTCCAGCCATGGGCCTACCCTTCTCGTTGCGTCCATATTTCTCCATCACTGCGGGCTTGAAGACCTCCCGGGGCTTAGACAACGGCTGGGTGGTACGCTCAACCGCTTCCGGGTTGGCCAGATAGAATAAGGCCAACTCTCGTTGCGCCGTCGAGTAGCCCTCCTTGGCAGTGATAGCCCACATCTTGCCAGCGTCTTCGAGTGAATATGACGTGGAGGGTGGAGGTGGCGTGCTGGTTGCCGAGTGTGGTTCATCTGAAGAAGCTTCAACAGCCTTGCGAGCAACAACGTGTGCCGCAACAATGTCGTCTGCCATGCTCATCATTGTACGGCACACCTCCCCTTTCAGCTTCAGCGCGGCCATGCCCATGTTCCAAAATGCGGTGCCTTTCTCTGGCTGATCAATGATTGAAGGAGGCACAAATGCAGCAATCAGCTGCAAATCGCGGAACAGGGAAGCTGGACGGATGGAGGCATCGCGAAACAGCGCGAGCAACTCGTTGACGATGACGTCCGAAACGCCAGGGCCCGGGGGTGCCCCTTCTCGTCCGCTGGGAGGTATGCTGGCCTGCGAACCTTGGGAACGTACCCCGAATTCATCCGTCGCACTGGAGCCTGCATCAGATCGATTCCACCGAGACCTCTTGGACTTCTTTGCGGAGAGAGATGCCGAGATCAAGTTCTCCAACTCATTCAATGCATTGAGCTTTGCGTGTGGATTTGGATGAACGCTGAAAGTGTTCAGCAGGCGTTGGTAGGCCTTCTTGAACGGGAATTTGTAACTGTCCCGATCAACCTTGTCGTTCGATCGAGCGTGCTCTTTGTAATGCGTCGCAAGAGGTACCGCCACTTCGGTGATGTCTGAACCTCGCTCTGATATCTGATCGCCTACCCCTCGCAGGTTGCCAAAACTCTTCTTTTTCTCCAGTGCCCTCGGTCGAGCTGTGCTTCGAGGCTGCGCAGCCTCCTTCTCTCTGTCTCTCTCCTTCTCCTTGTCCCTTTCCTTTTCCTTGTCCGACTTTTGGCGTGCACGCCTGTCCAGTGCCTCTTTTCGATCAAGACAGGATTGTCCAAACTTGGAGAACCAAGCGTCAGTCTCGGATCCCCTGGAGATGACGAGACTCCCAAGGTCGGATAGAAGCAGACTGGTTAATGTCTGTCGAAGCTCTGTGAGGAAACGGGTTTTCTCATCGTCCACGCGCTGCTGATGGAGCGTTTCATTTGAAGACGCAGAGGTACCTGGTCTTCCCATTGACATGCTCGAACTAGATGGGACATTGCCGTACGGGTTGGACCCAGAGAAAGTGGTCGAAAGATTGGTCAAGCTCGTCGTTGGTGAATATGCCCTCGAATTTCCTGAGCCAGGGGACATGGCAGGCTGGAATGGAGTCCAGAATGTGCTTGCTGTGTCGATTGTATTGTGAGGTGAATGTTTATCGAAATAGTCGTGCCCGTCTAGAATCTCCGAGAGTGGTGCACTCGATCTTGGCATGCCGAACCGTGCATCCAGCGAATGTTGGCTTCCGCCATGGGATGACTGTGCCCTAGGATCACGATGCAATGAGCCTGGCCGGCTCGAGGAACTAAATCGCTGAGGTCCGTCGCTCATGATGCTTGAGGAATCGTCACCTCCCCATGCGTGCTGATCGCGCTCGCGGGCCTTCATCCGTTCGAATGCGGCCTTGTCTCTCCTGTACAGCTCGCTCGACCATAGCACCGGTGCATCCCGAAGGGTTTCGCCAACCAACTTCTTCACGCATTTGTCAACCTCGCAACAGAAGCGGTGAATACGTTCTTCGCCTCTGCAAAAATTTTCGATGCCGAATTGTCGCAGCCATTTCAACACCAGGTCTGACTGGTCGTCGCTCAACTTGTTGGGGCCACCTTGGTCATCTGAGGCTGCCAGGAGGTCCATGATCTGAGATTCTGTCTGGATGAGATACGAATTAGCTGTACCTCGAGGCGCGTTTGTTTTGGTCCGTTGGATCGAGCTCCAGCGCCGAGGTTGCGCCATGGTCCTAAGCGCTTGGCAGATGTCCCTGCTATGAGTGTACTCTCGGCTGTTCCGCACATCAGCTACGAACCACATCTTGTCGCGAATCGCCCGCACACGGCGCATCATGCGATCTATATGTCCCTCGTGCCTCTCCTGACTCTGCTTGAGCCAGATCAACCATGCGTCATATTCTTCGATAGCAGCGGCCGATCGGCGAATAGAGTCTCTTGGGCCGCGCGAGAAGATGTTAATCAGAGCAGTGAATCCGTTCTGTCTGAGCGAAGAGCTCGCGTCCAGGCGTTCGAGCTGCTTCAGCGTTTTCCAGTACATGTGTGACGCCACGAAGTCAGCTTGAGACTTGGATTGAGCTGACGCTGACTTGAGCATGGTGATGAGCACAGCCTCGGGGGGTTCCATCCTTTCAGGGCCACGCGCTGGATTCGTCGACACACCTTCAGGTGAGGATTCAATATCGGCATTGACTTGGTTCCTGTAAGGATTACGGCTGGCCATGGTCCTTTCCGGGGTGATGATTCTATTTTTGGACTTGTATTTCTTAAGGCCTGATGCTCGGTTGCTCAAAGGTCCAGTTTCGGGCTCAAGATTCCTGGGTATCTCATAGTCCTGTACCAGTTTGAGTATGGAGTCCCGAAGCTGATGGTAGTCCTTGTCCATGTGAGGGCCATCTGCTACGTCGTCATCGTCGTCCGTATCGGTCGTAGAAGAAACTTCATCCTGGTCGTGCTCATCATCGGGATCATAGGTCATGTGAGTTGAGAGACTTTTGCCGTCTGAGGAGACGAATAGTACCATCCATCTCTCTGCACAAGGGTGGCAGGTTCCGCGAGTTGCTTCTGCGCCCAGGGCCGTCTTTAACTCATGCAAACCCAGACGCAGGCGGTACCCGTCCTCTTCATATTTCCCTTGGCGTCGCAGTGTTTCGGTATCCATGACAGGGGGTGAGTACCTCTGGGCCGCCATAGTGACCGTTGGATCAGCAAAGAAACCCTCTCCCGAAGCGGTGACATCAGACCCAGCACTGGTGCTAATGATCGACGCAGTCTCGGTGTTGTGTCTGCTATGCGCCATTGAAATGGGTTGCGAAATGGCAGACATACCAGAAACCGACGCTGGGCCAGATCGGAAGCTGCTTGCTCCTGACATAGGCTTCCTTTCGGGGAAGAGGGCGTTCACCAGGGTTTCCATGTCGGCGGGGCTGATGATCAAGTAAGGATGGACCTCTGCAGTTTCTCGCAGTGATGTGATCGAACGAGCTGGCAAGAGTTTGGTTGTGGGAGCCTTGGACCGCGCACCTCGGAACCTGGACATGATGCTGTCGACATGGGCCTTGATCCGCACGGGAATATCGATCGGAGCGCAAGTAGCAGATGGTTTACCCGTCCATAGGATGGAAACGTATTCGTGTGCTTTCATGGCAACCTTTTTGAGAATCTTCTCCCTGGCATATGGGGTGATGTGGTGCTCAGAGAGCATGCCGTAGGCCTCGGGATAACTTATGACACCGAGTAGGAAGACGAAAAACAGACATCTCCAGACCAGCCATCGAGAAGAATTCTCAACGTACTTGTTTTCGAGCTTGCTCAAGATAGCATTGCCAAGCTCTAGCAGTCCTTCCGGAATCCCTGTAGCATCTTCGTCATCAACAAGTTCAAACAAATCGTGGACTGCTGCGTCGTAAAAGTCGTTGGCGGCGACCTGATCAGACTGATCCCAGTCAGCAAGGTTAAAGCGTGTACCGTGCTGATCCTCTGCCCGTTCGAGAAGAAACGCGCCATCTTTGAGGATTTTCATCAGGTAGAACTCCATGTTGGATTTACCGGACCAGTCCCGCATGGTGGTCCAGATATTCAGCACGGACACCAGGAATTGCTCCCCAGTTGATTTCGGTTCCGATATGAGCCTTGCCAAGGCGGTTGCCCAGATATCCGTGCGCCTCTGATCCTCAAGACTGTCTGGACCAGCCGAGTTTGCAAAGCAAGTGTGAATCAGAATGGACAGCGGATCGTGTCGCTGAAAAGCAAGTAGACGCTCG